ATTGTTTTTTCGAATCTGTTTTTTCCGTCTCTTTTGTCTTGCTTTGTGTGGTACATGGAGGGAGGGAGGGAGTGTAGCAACTGGAACTGCCGCACTTCTGTTCAGATTTCTATGTTGAAACCCGTCAGTCAATCAGTCCATTTTCTACTGCCTATTTTCCGAGTTTTTGCCCAACACATTTCAAAATGACTTAAAGTTATTGGTGAATAATGCCCCCTCCCTCCCCCAGATATGAAACCTTTCTCATATGTATTGTTTGAATTAACTTAATTTTCCTTAATACTAGGCTTAAGAAGTCGGATAATGCGATAGACAGACAGACAGTGGGCAACGAGGAGACAGGCATAAAATGGACCAATACAAAATACTTGGAGAATCTGGTTTTCGACGATGTGATGCATGTCTGATTTCCCACAAATACTGGAAGATATGCAAGTGAAAGGCAACAAGGTGGCAGAGGAAGCATCAAAGATTGGACTTCAGGTGAACATAGAGAAAACAGATGTAGGTGATGAAGATTCCTGGCCAACAGCAGCAACAGCACCAGACAACAATCAGCATAAGTGGGAGAAATCGGAAAGGAGCAACCTCCTGTACCTACCGACCCACCTACCTACCAGGGAAGCATCGTTTGAACTACAGGCTGATGGAACCGATGAGGATATCAAAACAGCGAGGATCGGGAAAGAAAGGCTGTGTGGAGATCAGCAGCTCTACTCAGCACGAAACATAAGATCCGAATTTTCAACTCAAGTGTGAAGTCAGTGCTACTTACTGTACTGATTGGACACTTGGTTCCATTTTACAAAGAACACTTCTAACTAACTGCAGACCTTCATCAACAGCTTTCTTCGCTCAATGTTCAAGATCAGATGGCTGGCCGGCAAAGATCAGCAATAGGGATATCTGGCAATGAACGAACCAACCTATCAGGAACGAATTGTGCAACAAATGTGCAGGAATAAATGGAGGTGGACTGGATTGGCGATACTCTGAGAAACCCATCAAATGACATCGCGAACCAAACCATCCCTTCATTATAATCCGAATGAGAAACGAAGAGCGGGTCGTCTGAGGGTGATATGGAAGAGATCATGCGAGGAGGAGATGAGATACTATCCGCAATCTTGGCCCCAGTTGAAAAGGAGAACAGAAAATAGAAGACGGCAATGTGTTGTTGAAACCCTATGTTCCCCTCGGAACCCAAGGGAACAATAATGATAAAACATTTGTTGATACCCATAATGTATCACTTTGTGTATTTAATGATAACATGCATATGCATAGTTTCTGCCTAACAAAATATATTTAACAACTAACTCTGGTCTCATACACGAAATAGGTGGCAATTAAATAACAAGGCTGTTGTAATACTACACCGCAGTGGGTGATTAGTTTCCTAACAGACAGAAACGAGTTTTTCCTTACATGCACTTTTAACCGTGAAGAAACATATATATCTCTTTAAAGGTGTGTTATTTCATGCAATTCGTTTGGCTGGTGTGTTTTTTTATCCTGATTTCGTTAAGAAAACCTGTTTTTAAAGATTGGTGAAAATCAACTGTTTTGTTCGACTTGTGTATGTGTACTTGTGTTCAAATTATGTTTTTATGATTGGTTCAGACATCCTGAGCAGTTAGTTAAAAGTCACATTACCCATTCATTGCTGGACCATTATTCTTATTATTGTCCCATTGATTTCCGAACGGAAAATAGGGCTTCAACAGAACATCTCCATTTTGGTCCTATTTTCTGCAGACCTCTTTATCTCATCTCCTCCCCATCATACGATCTCCTCCATGTAACCCTCGGACCCTGGCCCCATTTGGCGTTTCCCAATCAGGTTCCACTTGGGCTATGGCCTGGCACGCGATGTCATCCAACTTTACTCTCTTCTCTTGCTTTATGTGCTGCATAGAGTGTGGCGATTCGAACTGATGTACATCTTTGCAAAGTTCTACATTGAAACCAGTCAGTCTGACAACGGTCTACTCAGCGTTCGTCGCATCCACCTTCACTGGGCAATGGGTTCTTAGTTGGTTTTTCGTTGTTAATTCTTTCCGGCTATTTGATCTTTACTGTGGAGTGAAGACAGTTGTTGATTAAAGTCTCCAGCAGCCTGTTAGAAATGCTTTTCGTGATGCACGCGCCGAGTTCTTGACCCATGCAGAAGCACTGACTGACTTAACATTGATGTTGAAAATCCAACTTTCGCTCCTTATGGTCAGTACCGAAGATTTATGAACTGACTTCTGAGTGATGACGTTCTGTTTTGCCTTTTCGATTATCATTTTTGACATCCTCATCTGCTCCAACCTGCATGCAGTCGAAAGGATGCTTCCGACATACATGAAGGGGGGTAACGTCTTTCAAATTTCTCCTGTAGGTTTTCGAGTCTTTTTGACATTAGACATAGGTCATCCATAAAGTGCAGATCTTCGAGGCTCTTCTTGTCGGCCTGGTAACATTCTTGTCTTCTTGCCCCCACCCCCCATGCATGATGTTCCATGCAGTAATGCAGCCCATGACGGTTAAGAATATCATCGGTGATAATAGACAGCGGCTTTGTCTTACTCCTGTCTGTACTTTATAAACTTCTCTGGTGTTTCTGTTGTGGATAACCTGACAGGTGGTATTGTTTTTCAGCTGTTGAATGAGCCTGATAAAGATTTATTGCAACGCTGTCCATACTGTCTAAATAGCTTCCAAATTACTTCATAGTACAAGCTGTAGAAGGCTTTTTTCAATGCTTTGTTCGATGATGATGATGATGTGTAGAGTAGCAATTTGATCCACACATGATTTCCTCCTCTTGAATCCATATTCATCGTAGAGAAATGTCTTCTTAATTCTTTTAATTGCATAGTTCGTCTGTCTATTAAAGACAGTACAAGTGTTGCCTTTCTCATTCTTCTTCTACCGTTTCTTCTCGTCAAATTTCAAGTTTTGAAACATCAATAAACGTGTTGTTTTTCACTAGATGAGAGTGTTAACTTCATGCCAAATCTTCCGTCTTTTCCAGAGTTACTTCCAGCTGGTAAATTAGATTACGTTTAAGAGTGTGATTCAGCAGGGAATCGAACTCTGGACCACGTGTTTGAGTTAGCTTTAGTGAATGTTCTACTATTTAACCATTGCTGCAATCATGAATTGAAAATTATAGTTCATCTTACTGCGTTGAAAGAAGTTATAGGATTAAAGTTAATAGCTGATAGCTATTCAGTTTAATTTAGTCTTTCCCCCTTTGCTTGACTGGAGTAAAGTGCTCAGTCTCAGGTTGTGACATGTTGTCTCCTTGTGTGATGGCTGCTTCGACGATATCTGATTATCATCTTATTTGAAGTAAATTGGTGGGTGGTGACTACTAGCCTCAATGGAATCCATGATGCGCATTTCTTCCTATTTATTGACTCGTCAGTTGGATATACCTGGATTCCACTGCTAGTCACCATACACTAATTTACCTCAAGTTGAGTAATCGAACATCGTTGAACCATCTGCATAAGTAGCTGACATGTCAACCAACCTCAAGCCGAGCACTACAGTTCAATCAACCAACGGGAAAGTCCGAATCGAATTAAATTAGTTACTGATATCCGTTGCACAAGAGGTGCTAGCTTTCGTGACCCAGGTAGACCCTAGTAGATAACGCTTTGGCGTTTGAAACGACAGTCACTGGGGCTGAGCTTCAGTGGGAATACCATCTCTTTCTGTGGGGGAATCCACGTACATGCAGATGACGAGTCCCAGATACGACGAAATACCCATCCTAGTAGATTCCATTGCAGCGAGTCACCATCCGCCAGTTATCTCTAAATTATTCAGGATTTTTTGCGATATGATTAAGTTCTGCATTTGTCTTATTATCTCTAACCTAATCTTCTGCTTGTGTCCTCATAATCTTCATATGGATATCCGACTCGAGTTCAAACCTCATCTCAAATATGTGGAATATTATATATAACATGCGTATACTGTTATAGATGCCTTGGAAAGTCATTACAAGTGTCAGCGTAGTTTCACTTTGCAACAAACAAGCTGGATGACTCACTGTCACCGTGCACTGTGAACTGCTGATATTAGTTGGTTGCAGGTAATCGCCAGGAGGAACACGATACCGCGAGATCTAGGTTTCCTGCTTGTTGGCTAGCACACTCACTAGTAAATAAGGCGTATTTTGAAGGGACTCATGTTCCTTTAGAGATCGGAACCCGTGTCATCCAGTGCTCTGTCTGTAGTTAGAGATGCGTTGCCACTGAGCTATTTGGGCTAGCAATTGACCTCCTTTCTGCAGGACTGTATTGGATACTTTGAATGAACGCTAGACAGTAATGGCTCGTCATCACGGATCACTTTAAATTACTGTTATTAGATGGTGGTAGCTAACGTCCTCTCAATTACCAGTGAGCAGTCTGTTGTGGGAGCGAACCAACCAGGAACCGATTGTGAAACAAATAGGCAGGAAGAAATGGAGATTGTTTGGCTGGCCATACTCTGAGGAAACCATTGAATGACATCATTAGACAAGCCATTGCTCGAGTGGAACCCGAACGGGAAGCGGTGAGTTGGTCGTCAGTGCAAGAGTGGGTGACTTAGAGGAGGTCATGTGAAGAGGAGATGAAAGCATGTGGGCAGACTTGGAGCCAGGTGAAGACTCTAGCAGAGAACCGAACGCAATGGAGACGCACGGCTGAAGGCCTATGTTCCTCTAGGAATTAAAGGAAACAATTATTTAGGAAGAAAAGAATAAAACAGGTACTTTTTGAATTCAGCCTTCATATTTCCTATATCGACATAGTGTTTGAGTCCCTTTCTTTTTAGCTTTGTTTGAATTCCTATGTGTTCAAAATGCATCAACCTACTGAGGTGATTATTTATAAGATATCGGGTGCAATACTGTCTTTTATATAATTATACCCCCACCTAAATATAACATAAAGATAACATTATTTTCAACTTCTACTTCCGTGTCTATATATATGTGTGTATACGTTTTATAGACCAACTCCAATTTCTGGTAAACGCGATCGATCAAAATCACGTAGTCCTGAAAAAGCTGTTATGAAGGCTAGAGATCGTGCAGTTGCAGCTCTTGAAGGTGAGTTAACGCTTTTACTATTGTTGTTGTTGTTGTTTTGTTTTCTCTTTGCCACCTAGATTTTTGGATGTTGTACAGGCTGGAGAAGTGATTGTCCTAGCTAACTAGCTAGCTATTAGTGTCACGGATGAAGATAAGATGATAAATTGCTCTGATTGGTTGTTAATTTTCTAAAGGTTAAACCTTGAGGCGAGCGATTGTCCAATGTAATTTTTTCCTGACCACAACGTAAGCTAAATCCAGATTTGAGGAATAGACACTTCTACATACATACATTTGCAGCTAGCCATTGACTTAAAATGTTTTTAATTTTCGCTGCTACTTTCTATATCAATCTGCGTCTATATACTACTGATAAATCTTGTCAGTATTACATGCCACAATAACTATTATTTAAAAACTTTGATCGGACACTAGTAACGAGTGTTCTGTGTGTCTAGTTCTTCCTTTGTTGTAGACTTAAAAATTAATCTTATGCTCACTAGCGACTGGCTCTATTCAGGCGGTGACCTGGGGTTCTAGTGGGAAGCCGTGACAAGTAGAGTACAGCAGGTTGAAGGTGAGGCAGTAACTCATCGAAGAAGACATTGCGAATCGGTCGCGCTATGTCATGAATTGGCAGAAGTTTGAATTCATGGTCTGACTATTGGATCGGGTCCCAGTGGCTGAAAGGTCTGCGGGCTAGCTCGTCTTGTAACCAGAAGGTCTTGGGTTCGAACCCCTGTAGTGGGTGTGTACTGTAAAAAGTCCCAAGGTAGGCTGACGAAACAGCTGCCCAGCACTCCCTGGCAGGTTTTCCAGTGGTTCTCTACCCGATGTCAGCTCATGAGGAAATCCTCCATCCAATCAAACTAAATCCGTACAAAACCAATATTTGAAAATTAAATTCTATCAGTCAGGATGGCAATGTGGCCACCATTCTAAGCAGCTCGCCGTCACTATGCACATTGATTCGATGATACCAGATGGTTGAAGGCAATCGGCCACAGGAAACCTTGCTTGACCTAGGTTTCATATCACTTGAAACCTGGAAGGAACTCACATCCCTTCTGACATTCGAACCCGCGTCACTCAGTGCCGCCTGCAGTCAGAGACGTTATCACTGAGCAGCTATTCGGGCTCGCGATTGACCTCCTGTAGGACTGTATTGGATACTTTGGTTGGACACAAGGTTGCAGATACGCCTTGGTGACGATTGCCAACTAGCACGAGACCTAAGCCGATTGCCTCCAACCATCTAATATCATAAGATTATTTAACAATCCTGGATGGTAGTCAGTATCTTCATCACGTTGTTGAGTAATAATCAATTTGGATATATTGCCCGAAACAACTATTCCTGGATATCCTGCCACGGCTGGCTGGCTGGCTGCATTCAACATAGAACTTCGCACCGAAGTGCAGCTGTTCGAGTTGCCACGTTCCGAATAGCACACAAAGGTAGACAAGAAAATGAGTGAAGGGAATCAATAGAGTTTTGACAAGTATAAGAGTGAAATATAATGAGTAGTGATAGAAAGGAATATGAAAGATTACAGAGACTGAATACATCTGCGTAAGCCATTGACAACGATTTTGAGCCATGTCACCTATTGTCTCCAGTCATTGATTCTTAGAGTCCCGAGGGCGGGCCCCAACCCGGAAGTCTGCATCTCCCTACCTGACTCAGTTTAACTGTCAAGGATTTCATGGATTGATGAGGCCATGTTTTTGTTTGGCCACCACTTACTCTTTTCCAACCTGTACCTACCTATATCAGCTAGTAATGCCCGTCGGGGTGGGGGAGGCGATGGATAGGAATGCGCAGCACGTAACCTAGCCATCTCAATCTGTGTAACCTTATAGCCTCTTCGACTGATTTTCCCTCTTTGCCCAACACTCTACGCCTAACGTCGACATTACTTACCTTTTTATGCCACCTAATGTGAGAAAGAGATCATAGACATCTATGATCAAAAACATTCAACCTTTTCATGTCTTCAACTCGTATTGGCTATGTTTCAGAGCCATAGAGAAGGACGGAGCGAACTGTTGAGCAGTACACACGTCCCTTGGTTGATAGCCGGATGTCACGCCTACGACAGAGATGGTGTAAGTTAGCGAAAGCAGCAGCTCGAGCTTTTTGGATCCGTGCTGAGATTTCGTCACCAATCAATCCGTTGGTGCTGTGCTGATACAACTTCCCAAATAGGTGAAGTGGTCAACATGTTCTATCATTTCACTCCCTATCATTAAGCTAGGAGTTGACGTAGTCCAGTCCTGTAGCAGCATCTTACATTTTACAGGAGTGAATCGCATGCCAAACATACGAAGATTGCTGCTCAAGGTGTTCAGAAGACTCTGCATTTTGTCAGCATCCTCCCCTAACAGGACTATGTCATCTGCATATTCTAAGTCTATAAGACTATTCCCTGGTAACAAGTCGATTCCTAAGTTGTTAAGTTCAGTTAAGGATAATTCCATTAGCATATGTATGATGAAGTTAAACAGAAATGGGGAAGGTGGACATCCTTGACGGACACCACTGGTTGTTATCAATTCAGATGACAATTCCCCATAAGCCCTTACACAGCTATGTGAGTTTGAGTAGAGTGCCTTGATTAGTGCATCCTGCCACGGCAGAAAGTAGAGGTGTTGGGTAGTGGTAATACACCTCGAACAGTTGCCGCGCCTTTCCTATAATAAGTGGCGTGCACTGTGTTGGGTTATCTGATGACAAAGGCTAAACAGCCAGATATATTGTCTTCCTATATGACAGAAGAAAGGTTGAAAAGATTCATTTCCAAAATCTCTATACACAACGACTAGTCCTACTGTAATGACAGAAGACAAGGGCCAGACAACAGATTGTTTATTGAGAAAATCAAGAGGTATTTATAGATTTTTATGTACATTATTTGTTAGCGGAGAATCAAGCTCTTTTGATTGGTTGTTTTCTTGCTGAAGGTTGTTCTGTTATGCCTTTGTGGCCGTTTCTCAGAAAATCAAGTCAGATATCTGTGAATCATATTTTCGACACTTTAACTCTGCTGTGAGTGGCTGGTGATCTTCTCAAGGTTAAGCTTTGTTACTGTGTTTTTTCTCATGACCCTGATTCGGGACATAAATTGTTGTCTATAATTTCGGCTTGCAGCCAGCTCTCACCACACTACTACAGACACCGTTAATAACCAACAGCCGCTAGATCGTTGATGAATCCTTATGGATATTTATTGTTTCTTTTATGACGATCAGAAAACCGGCTCGTTGTCATCTTAACACAGGGAACCCATCACTGCGTTCTACTGTGTGGATAGCTGCCTGAAACATCTTTGTGGAGGTTTCAAAGACAACAAAATGACGACTGGTTACAGGATTTCATCATGAGCTGACATCAGTTAGAGAACCATTGGAAAACCTGCTAAGGAGTACTGGACAAATGTTTCGTCCTAGTTCGGGGCTCTTCGGTAGTGCTCGTCCACCGGGGTTCGAACCTTCTGGTTTCAAGGCTAGCGAGTTCGTCGACCGTTAACTCACTGGGAACCGATCCGATTATATTCGTGTTTGAGAACTATGTGTGATTCTAGTTAGAACATCAAAAACTCAAAATTACTTCAGTAATGCCGTTAGGCTGGACTGGATTATGCATCGGACAGTGGGAAACGAGAAGACAAGGATATCCTGGACCGACGTGAAGAACCTAGAAGACCTGGATTTCGCGAATGATTTATGTTTGATGCCACACAAAATCGAAGACTTACAAGCGGAACGGAAACCGACAAACTGGTCGAAGAAGCGCCAAAGACAGGACTCCAGGTGAACATAGACAAGACGGAGGTTATGAAAATAACCAACCAACAACAGCAGTAACATCCAGCGCCAATCACCATCAACGGGAGGGATTTGAAAGAGGTTACTTCTTACACTTATCTAGGGAGCATTGTCTCAACTAGCGGAGGAACGGACGAGGATGTCAAATCGAGAATCAAGAAGGCAAGAAACACATTCATCAACCTGAAACCAATCTGGAAATCTTCGTCACTCAGCCTGCATCAACAACAAAATTCGGATTTTCAATACAAACGTCAAGTGATTCAGTTCTTCTATACGTATGGATCAGAAACTTGGTGGGTCACAAAGAATATTTTCAACAGCCTGTTGCAGACCTTTATCAACAACTGTCTTCGTTCTATACTGAAGATCAGATGGCGGCCGGAAAGAATCACCAACAAGAAACTATAGGAACAAACAAAACAAGAACCAGTTGCCCAAGAAATATGCAGGAGAAAGTAGAGGTGGATTGGACACTCGCTGAGGAGGCCTCTGGGTGACATCGCGCTTCAGGCCATAGCTCGAGTGGAACCCGAAAGGGAAGCAGCGAGTGGGACGTTCAAGGGTGACATGGAGGAGGTCGTGTGAAGAGGAGTCGAAACAGTATGGAATAACATGGATGCAGGTGAAAAGTACAGCAGAAGACAGAAGCAAGTGGAGACGTGCAGTTGTAGCCCTATGTTCCACTAGGAACTCAAGCGAACAATAATAATAATACTATAGAAGATAGTTAGTTTACCTAAATTCAACTCTAAGAAGTATCTTAGAATCAAGTAGAATATTCTTAATTAGGTAGGATCTAAAACTCTACCGACAAGAATCACACACCAACACTTCTTGAAGACAGATCAAGATGAGGATAAAATTGACTTGACACAAACAAAACTGAGGTGATAAGGATAACCAACCGACCAAGAACAACAGCAAGCACCAAACCCTGTCAACGGAAGTATTTTGAAAAAGGTCGTCTCAGCTACAACCGGAACGGATATGTGTTTCAAAACTGAAATCGGAAAGGCAAGATAGACTTTCATCAATCTGAAAACAGTTTTGAAATCTTCTGTACTCAGCATAAACGATAAATTTCAGATTTTCAACGTCGATGTTAAGTCGGTCAGTTATTTTTGTTGTTATTCCCTTGAATTCCGAGTGGAACTTAAGGCTTCAACAACACATCTCCACTTTGTCTTATCTTCTGCCGTTCTCTTCAGCTGAGTCCACGATTGCCCATAATCTCTCATCTCCTCCTCACACGACCCACTCATCGCCTCCCATTTGGATTCCACTCGAGGGCCTAGTTATCTAGCTTGCTAGTTTTCTAGCCGTTCCCAAGCCCGGATAAATAGGGAGGGTTGGGTGTATGGGGCTAGCAACCCTACCAACCACAAAAGCTATCAAACTAGCTAGATAAACTTCAACGCACAAATAAATATAGTCAGACAGTTACATTGTCCTATATGGGTCAGAAACTTGATAAGGGGGTCACAAAAAGCATTTCCAACAGGTTGATGTAGACTTTTGTCAACATCTACTTCCCTCACTGGATCCATACTGAAGATCTATATCATGGCTGGCTGGAAAGAATCATCAACAAGAAACTATGGGAGCGAACCAATCAATGACTGATGGTCAATAAATATGGTGGCGCATTAGGCCTTCGAGTGGGAATAGAGTAGTTTGGCCTGGATCTAAGGGTGACATGAAGAAGATCGTGTGATGGAGAGGAGATGGCAGCAGCCTATGAGCAATCGCTGAGTCCCAGCTACCAAAGAACTGCAGAGGACAGAGCGAAATGAAAATGGGCTGCTGTCGAAGCCTTATATTCGACCCAGAGCCCAAAGGAATAACAATAATAATAGTAAACAATTTTTGTTGATATTTTGTCGTCTATACATTAATATTTTATTTTATTATTATTGATTTTTGTTTTTTCCTATATTTATTCTATAGTTGCATCGAAGATTGGCAGTCCACCAAAGTCATCTGTCCTAACTAGTCAACATATACGCTTTCTAGCGCATGCTGAAGCTGCCGCTATAGCCGACTCAAAGGGTGAAACATACCGACAAGATACTTCTGCCTCAAATGAACAACAGGCGACAACAGGAGACCAACAACAACAACAGCAACAGCAAGCATCGGTCAGCCCTGATGAATGGTTCATCTTTGCACAATCTTCCATACTGTCATGTCTTCTTGAACGTGTAAGTGAACTGGGCAAAAGTGGACTCTGTGTTTATATTATTGATTGATTGATTGATTGGCGTGTGAGCAGTTGTTTACCGCACCATTCACACCTAGATTGGAGCAATCCAGTTACCGGACGACCGTTTTCCTTGTTTGGGACCGAGCGGTGTTACCGGTGGACTCGATTTCCGACTGTCTAGCTAGCTTGCTAGCTACTTAAGCGAACTGATAACACCATAAATCAAATTTACACTTTCTAAGTCACGCTGTTATTTACGGGAGTAGGTGAAATCTCACATCACAGTTTCTTTCTCACCAAAATATGTGAGTGATCTGTTTAGTATCACCATGATTGGTAGTCAAGAGAGCCCCAAGCAGAGATAATAATAATAATATTTTACTTTATTCCAAAAACAGTACTTATGAGACAGAATGGAATTCTCAGTATTTGTCACAATATTGCATCTGATTTACTCAAAATATAAATAAAAATAAAAATTAAAACAAAAATTAATCGGAGGAATTTGTCCACATTTACAACATAAAGTCAAAAAGTTTCGAAGCATGAATTGAGATTATTAAATATAATAATAATAATGATAATAAGAATAATAACAGCGAGTTTGTTTCGAACAGTATTGTGGATTCAGTTTGGAAATTTTAGCATGTTATAGATTATTGGATCGAATGTTCTGTTGATATAGCAGCATGGTGAGGGGAAATACAAAATTAACAGTTATAATAAAGCTCAAATTATGTCCACATTTATGAAAAAAACGAAAAAATTGAGAGGATTATAAATATAAGAAATACAATAACTATAAAGTTTGATGTTGTAAGGGTTTATTTACTAGTGCGAAGAAGGTTAGTTAGTTCATGTCTGACACTATTTTCATCACATAAAGTACGTGCCACCAAATATGGTATAGTAGAATTTTTATACTCAGACGTACGTGCATAAAGTCTTCTGAAAAGACTTCTTGTTTTACCTGAGGAGACACAAGGTTGGAGCTGCGGGCGCTGTGATGGATGCTCAGAGTCTGACAAAATTCCTTTAGCGAATTTTTTGCATGACATCAAGTGCCTATCAGTGACAATGTCAACGATATGCCCCAATGGGATACCACTCGTCCTACTGACAGTGTTCAGAATTCTACGAAGTATGACATAGTCTTTTTTAAACAATCCAGGAAAGAATAAGGGTTAACAGTAAAGAAGAATAGGTAAAATACACGAGTTGACAAACTGTAAGAGAAGGGGTGGGTTCAGTAATGCCTGAGTACCTTAACTTCTTAATGTAAAAAGTCAAACGAAATATTCTTTTAGAAATCGCTAAGACATGAGAGGACCAGGATAGGTCAGAAGAGAGAATTAATGCAAGATAATTAACTTCAGACTTGTTTTCTATATCAGTATCATCAATTTTGCAAGGGTCGTAGGAACCAACGGCTTCATTTAACTTTCGCTTACGTCGGAAACTGAAATTAACAGTCTGACATTTGGAAGGATTAAGTTTAAGGCCGTTAGATGAAGACCATTTGCTAATTCCTGATGGAAAGTTGTTTATCCTAGTGCAGTCAAACTGGCAGTTAACAGACATTGAAATAGTTAGATTATCGGCATGCTTCACAAAGTTTATTTTATCATCAGAGTGAGGCAAGTCATGCAAGAAGAAAGAAAACAGAACAGAAAAGGAGAAAGAACAGCGCCTTGAGGGACACCAGCCTTAGTGTACTGCTTTCTTCCTGAGAAATAAGAATGGAGCCATTTGACAACCCAACAGTCAGTTTGAGTTTCACCAAGCTTGTTTAGTAAAATATCCCTAGGTACTGAGTCGAAAGCAGATGTGTAGTCTAGGAAGGTGCAGCGAATAAATTTAGACCCCTTGTCTAAGCTGGAGACAATGTTATGATACAAGAATGCACCTGCATCTAAAGTACTTCTACTATGTTTGTAGGCGAGATGATTCATGAGTAATAGTTGCACACCATGCACACTAACTAACCATTATCATTTTTTGGTATTTTTTGCTTTAACTGTACAATCGGTTTTATATACAATCTCCTCTTCATGAAAGACAGTAGTAACAAAAGTGATAAGTTGTCACAAACATAGTTGGTTGGAGGATTTCATCATGAGCTGACATCAGTTAGAGAACCATTGGAGGACCTGTTTCGTCCTAGTTCGGGACTCTTCATCAGTATTCACCCGCGGGAGTTCAAACCCAGGACCTTATGGTTACAAAGCTAGCGAGCTGGTAGACCATTCATCAGCCACTGGGACCCGATCCAATGGTCAACCCATGAATTCTAACTTCTGCCAATTCATGACATAGTGCGACCACTTCACAATGTCTTCTTCAATGAGTTACTGCTTCATCTTCAACCTGCTGCACCCTACTGGTCACGGATTCCCACTAGAACCCCAGGCCACTGCCTGAATAGGACCAGTCGCTAGTGAGCATCAGATCAATTTTCAAGTATTAGTTTATTGTAGGCATTATGTTTGATTGGTTGGAGGATTTCATTGTGAGTTGACATCAGTTAGAGAACTAGGACGAAACATCTGTGCAGTACTCGCTGGCAGGTTTCCCAATGGTTCTCTAACTGATGTCAGCTCATGATAAAATCCTCCAACCAATTAGACAAAATCCCTACAAAAAAGCCAATACTTAACAAATATAGGTGTTCATATTAGTCGTCAATAAATGCATCAAAAGAGTCGAATAAGTGTACTAGCGTTACGTAATAAGATGAATAATTTCATAAATGAGTTGTAATCAGGATGTACATATAGAAAAGAAGGAAAATATGGAATTCCATAAGAGTTCTAAGGAAATACAAAGCCTATAAGTAGTTAGAAAAACAAACAATTAAAAGTCAAGTCAATAGAGAAACAACAAGGCTGCTACCAAGACAGTAGGAGTGGTTGAATAATATTCTTTTGTATTCATAGATCCGGTTTCTCTTAGTGAATGGCTAAAGCTTCAAAAATGCAAAAGAGACGAAAGCATGTTGCTTTTGGCAGATCGTTATTCTTCACCTTGTAGATAGATTACTTTGAAGGAGGAGGTGTTTGTTGTGAGATGGAATGACCAGTGTTGACAGGGTGTCCAGCCATCGAACTCCTGATGGAGCCACCACTACCTTTCTGTAACCACGTGAGATAGAGTTTTTCAGCCCTTTAGGACGCATTGAGTGACCAATATACCTGGTTCCACAAGAACAGGTAAACTGATATATGCACATAGAAGTGGTCAGAAGGCGAGATATTGTACTCAAGGCTTCTATAGACCAATGTATGACTGACTTGAGAACACTACTTTTAGCGTTGCTGCAGAGAATGTTGTTCTCTTAAGGATATCGCAGGTTGAGTCTCGTTTTTGAAACAAGTTATGTTTGTTTACTATGAAGTTTTGGTTTCATGTTCGTCTCAATAAGTCTTGGTGCGTACCCATTTTGGATGAAAATTTCTTTGGGAAAATGAATTTCTCCGTCTAGGGTGTCATATGCGTCGGATCCGTGTGACAAGGGATTTAATTAAATTCCCTCTTCGTTCAACAGCCAATCCAGCTGTAGAAACTCGTTAGTTGACCATTCTTCTAGTCGATTTCCAATGGACTGTGACCGCCTTCTTAAGGTTCTGTTGGGTCGTCTTGTTACATCCACATCAAGAAGGGGAATTTCGGATTCATTTTCTATCCCAAGGGGGAATTTTATTGCCGGATGACAGTTGCTGAATACTTGTGGGAATTGATTGAAGTTATAACTTTTGTCACAGTTGTCATTGGTCGACTCTAATGGACCCATTGTGCGGCTAAAGCAGAAGAGAATGAATTCGCCGACAAAAATAGCCTCTTCTCTGAACTACGTGTTATGTTTTCGTTAAACTCCGCGTATCCTGGTGAGATACACTCTACGATGATTTTCCTCAATTGTGACTTGCAGTGGTACCTAGAATTGCTCGTTTCGTCTTGTTTTGGATCTCATCGGCTAGCTGAATGTACATTCATTCCTATTATGTGAGTGAGTGAGTGAGTGAGTGAGTGAGTGAGTGAGTGAGTGAGTGAGTGAGTGAGTGAGTGAGTGAGTGAGTGAGTGAGTGAGTGAGTGAGTGAGTGAGTGAGTGAGTGAGTGAGTGAGGGAGTGAGTGAGTGAGTGAGTGAGTGAGTGAGTGAGTGAGTGAGTGAGTGAGTGAGTGAGTGAGTGAGTGAGTGAGTGAGTGAGTGAGTGAGTGAGTGAGTGAGTGAGTGAGTGAGTGAGTGAGTGAGTGAGTGAGTGAGTGAGTGAGTGAGTGAGTGAGTGAGTGAGTGAGTGAGTGAGTGAGTGAGTGAGTGAGTGAGTGAGTGAGTGAGTGAGTGAGTGAGTGAGTGAGTGAGTGAGTGAGTGAGTGAGTGAGTGAGTGAGTGAGTGAGTGAGTGAGTGAGTGAGTGAGTGAGTGAGTGAGTGAGTGAGTGAGTGAGTGAGTGAGTGAGTGAGTGAGTGAGTGAGTGAGTGAGTGAGTGAGTGAGTGAGTGAGTGAGTGAGTGAGTGAGTGAGTGAGTGAGTGAGTGAGTGAGTGAGTGAGTGAGTGAGTGAGTGAGTGAGTGAGTGAGTGAGTGAGTGAGTGAGTGAGTGAGTGAGTGAGTGAGTGAGTGAGTGAGTGAGTGAGTGAGTTAAGCGTTTTGGAACGATGGGTGCACATTGTCTGAGTCTCAGTGTAGGGAATACCAACACAATCTCGCAGTGGAGATTCCAGGTGCATCCACGAGTCCCTTACAGAACAAAATGCTCTGCCAGTCAGTCGCCGCCCCTCTCCCAACCAAAATAACTTCATACTAATCCGCTGAACTACGTGTTTTGTTTTCATTAACACAGATGTTTCTCTTCTGTTCATTTTCTCCTCTCTTTTTGTTTCTGTGCTTTTAGCCTCCTAAACAAACCGACTTGCCTGCTGACGCTGATCCAAATCAAATGATGATGTATGATTCTGATGCAAGTGAACCATCAGCAAATACTACGCCTGGAGGTGGAGAGTACTTTACATATCAAGAGGCGTTAACTAAACACCAGCATTGTATCAATCGTGTTCGCCGATTTATTAAACAATCCCAACGGATAAAACAACGTAAACGCTTGCAACATCGTGTTAGACATTCACTACATTATAGATTAACTGGAAAATTTACAAATAACAGTCATGAGGATGCCGATGGCGCTGAGGAAGAGGAGGTGGAGGAGGATGGGGAATGTCATGATCTCACCGACAAAGATGACAGTGATCTCGATAATAATGATGGAAAGGATGATAAAGACGTTATTCCAATCGATAAATTATACTTACCGCCAAAATCATCTCTGTCGTCACCAGAAGGAAAAACTGCACAGTCTGTTTCACAGGATGGCAGTTTAAATCAATTATTGTTAAATCTATCATCGGATTTACAACCTCAATGGATACTGAGACGACTTCATTTAAACCCGGATTTCATGGATACATGGTGGGGTAGTGAATTAGAATGTGAATTCTATGCAGCTCTGAATGAGTTGACTACTGAGTCAACAGAAAAAGGACAAACAAGAACAACAACGGCAACAAGCTTGAAAGATTTCTACGATTACATGTCAAGCAGTGGGGATGCAGGCGGCGGTGACAAAAATCCTCCTGGTAATGATGATTTTAATGAGGATGGCGGTGCCGATGATGGTGTTGGTGGCGTTGACGAGGATGAGGATGATTATGATGATGAAGATGATAATTTGATTGTTGATCCTCTTGGTTATCGTAAATTAACCGTATTTGAACGTGAACGTCATTGGGCGCATAGTGATAGTTATGCTTGGCGGTTAATTCGTCTAGGTTTAATGCAATTGGCTAAACGGGAATTGAATAGGCTTATACAAATAGTGGATTTTAATAGTGAAGGTAAGTCAAATTGGTCAGTATTCATTATTATTGATTACTATTATTTTATTCCTTTACATTCCCAGTAGAATATAGGGAACACCTTGAGCAGCAATCTTCGTGTGTTCTTCATGCGATTCGCCCCTGTAAAATGTAAGATGCTGCTACAGGACTGGACCACGTCAACTCCTAACTTAGTGATAGGGAGTGAAGTGATAGAACATGTTGACCACTTCACCTATTTGGGAAGTTGTATCAGCACCAACGGATTGACTGGTGACGAAATCTCAGCACGGATCCAAAAAGCTTAAGCTGCTTTCGCTAACTTACACCGTCTCTGGTGTAGGCGTGACATCCGGCTATCAACCAAGGGACGTGTGTACTGCTCATCAAGTTCGCTCCGTCCTTCTCTATGGCTCTGAAACATGGCCAATACGAGTTGAAGACATGAAAAGGTTGACTATTTCTGATCATAGATGTCTACGATCTCTTTCTCACGTTAGGTGGCATAATGACGTAAATAGTGTTGACGCTAGGCGTAGAGTGTTGGGCAAAGAAGGAAAATCAATCGAAGAGGCTATTAAGTTACATAGATTGAGATGGCTAGGTCACGTGCTGCGCATGCCTAACCATCGCCTCCCCCGACGGACGGGCATTACTAGCTGATATAGGTGGTGCAGGTTGGAAAAGAGTAAGTGGTGGCCAAACAAAAACATGGCCTCATCAATCCATGAAATCCCTGACAGTTAAACTGAGTCAGGTAGGGAGGGAGATGCAGACTTCCGGGTTGAGGCCCACCCTCGGGACTCTAAGAATCAATGGTTGGAGACAATAGGTGACATGGCTCAAAATCGTTGTCAATGGCTTACGCAGATGTATTCAGTCTCTGTAATCTTTCATATTCCTTTCTACCATTACTCATTCTGTTTCACTCTTATACTTGTCAAAACTCTATTGATTCTCTTCACTCATTTTCTTGTCTACGTTTGTGTGCTATTTGGAACGTGGCAACTCGAACTGCTGCACTTCGGTGCCAAGTTCTATGTTGAATCCAGACAGACAGACAGAATATAGGGGGTTTCAAATCGGAGCTTTGAAGTTTCGGAAGCAGTAGTATTTATTTTTTGCAGGATGGGGTTGCTGCTAGCCTCATACTCAACCTTCCCTCTTTAGTAGTTTTATAACTGGCTTAGTGAGGTAAAGGAGTGTGGTGGCCGGGAATCGAACCCCGAACCACATATGTGGTCCACTGGTACGCAGAGCTGCTGCCCGATGGAAGGCTCGAACCCTCCAACCCTCAGATTAAAAGTTTGGTGATGCTCTACCGACTGAGCTATCCCGGCCAAGGTTGGTTAGTTTTCATTTTATTTCCTTTTATTATCATTATCATGATGATTATCCTTGGGCTTTTTTTTATTTAGTTGTGTTCTCTGAGCTGATTGGTTGATTTCATTGTGAAGCTTTCGTTGCCCCCCCCCACCCACCCACCCCCTCATCTAGACAACACCGCTTCGGCGCGGAATTTTAGTGTGAAATGAACTTTTATGAATTCTCCATGATTAATGATATCATTGTATTTCCTGACAACAAGCATTGTAGTGATTGCTTGTCAATCACAACGTTTATCGTTTTTATTCACATGAAATTTGAAATTTCATACGACAACTACCTGTTCCACTGCTAGGTAAGGAGGGGAAATCAGTCGACGAGACTGTGAAATTACATCGACTGAGATGGTTAGGACATATGTTACGTATGCCTAGTCATCGCCTTCCTTGACGGGAATGTTAGCTGATATAGGATCAGACTGGAAAGGAGCTAGCGGCCGTCAAACGAAAACATGGCACCAATCAATAAAATCTACAACAGTTAGTCTAAGCCACGTAGGAAGGTGTAGACTTCCTGGTTGGGGTCCTCGGGACGGTAAAAACCAATGAAGGCTGGAGACAATTAGTGATATGGCTCAAAATCGTTCTCATTGGCGCAGATGCATCCACTCCTTGTGATTTATGATTTCCAATGAAACTATATTGTTCTTCTTTATTACTATACCTTTGTCTCATACCTCTGTTTAGTGTCTCTCTATTATGCATTCCTTCTACTTTCTTCTCTTGCTTTGTGTGCTACATGGAGGGAGTGTGGCAGCTTGAACTGCCGCACATCGATGCAAAGTTCTATGTCGAAAACAGACAGACAGACCTGTTGCACCCCATCCCGCTCTACTTAAACTAGAACACAACGACGTGAACCGAAAAGTATATTTGATACAGTAATAATGTATGATTCAAAATACCACTAAAAGAGGTATGTCAATTAGTCTATCCTCATGATCAATAAAATAGTGGGCGTTATTCTACGAAGGTCAGTTCTGATTGGTTTATTTGCAGACTGAATATTGATCACTTACATAGGCCTAATTCTGATTGGCTTCTTTCCAGAATGGACACTAACCACTATATTAGGTACATATTGCTGAGGAGTGCCAACGTAGGACGAAATAGCTGTGTGCAGTACTCCTTCCTGCTTTCCAGCGGTTCTTTAATATGATATCAATCCTACGATGCACCCTGAAATATTTCTTTATTTTAAATAACGAACTGTATATTATAATATTTGCCGGCCTTTTTTATTTTATTTTACCTTTTTCATTAGATTTAGCTGTATATGCACCAGGCTTGATGACATTAACTCGTCAAGTTGACTGTTGGATCACTGGTTATCGATTAGAGTTGACTTCACCGCCAGCAATTAATCCAGTACAGTTGAAATTAGGACTTAAAGGTTTTATAGATGAACATCTTATTCCATCAGCAGAATTTTTACCAAATATTGATGAAGATATCACGTCGACTGGTTTACAATCTACCATTGCTACCAATACCAGTGGTATCAGTAATATTAGTAGTGCAAAGAACAGTAGTGAAATATCCAATGAATTAGCACCTTCACAAGCTGCAACACGATCTATGTTGCGTATGAAAAAATTATTGAATACTAAAAAAACACCTTTTCAGTAAGTTTTTTATATTATTTTTCACGGATTTTATGTTAATATAACGGAGTAGAAGTTAGAATTGATGGGCCATTGAATCGGGTCAGTCCCAGTGGCTGAATGGTCTACGAGCTCGCTGGCCTTGTAACCGGAAGGTCCTGGGTTCGAACCTTTGAGGTGGGATGAAACAGCTGTCCAGTACTCTAGTGCTGGTTTTCAATGGTTCTCTAACTGATATCAATCCGTGAGTGGTCAAACTGGTAGAAACAAATCTAATCCTTACAAACCAACCAACTCTTGAAAATAACGAGGAGTGTTATTGGTCTTATGGAAAATTCCCATTGTAACATATAGAAAATCAAAACAAGTAGGGATTCAGCTAAGAGACTCTTTCCAATAACGAATTTATCATCAAGCTGTACAATCGTATATATATGGGCTTTTTCTAAAAAATCATATCCTGTGAGCGAATTGAATCATAGGTGTGAATACATGAAATAATAATAGTATGGAACATAATTAAAATATTTGTGATTATAATCATAGTTTAATGTCAAGTGGCAAAATAATTAATGTCGTATAAAGAATAATTCATAGGATGGATAGAACTTGGAAGAGGTAGGCAAATAATAAGATTAGTAGGCAAATCGAATAAAATAAAAACGTTACGTAATATTTTGTGAAATTTAATAGCATAGAATTTAATGTTGTGAAAAGGAATTGATTTAGAATGACAAGTGGAACAAGTGAAATAATACCGAGGACAATTAAAAGTGAGAATAGTAATGGTAGTAACAATCGATGTAATAAAGGAAGTGAATAAAAATTGAATAGACAAAATGAAAAGAAAATTGGTAGAGCCAAAATATGATTAGGGATAACCACACTTTAGCATAGAGGGATTGAGACTATGAAAGTTTGACGGGTTGAACGAACTTTTTCTGTATATAGAGATCTAGCATTTCTGTTTCGTCGGCCAAAGATGTCTCCAGTAATACAGATGAGTCGAGTACATAATGTTTTGTATAAATTACTTTTCTCCTTGTAGATGATTTTTAAAGGCGGAGGCTGTGGCGGTAAGGTGATCACTATCGACCAGATGTCCAATGATCACGCTTCTTATTGCTCCATTTCCACCTCTTCGTAACCATGCAGGATGGTATCACTGATATCACTCCATGATCAAACTTGAAAATCTGATATGTAAAATAAGATGAGGCTTTTCCACACAAAAAACTTGAAGGATCTGGACTTCGCCGATGTCATGTATGTCTGATTTCCCACAAACACTTGAAGATATGCAAGTGAAAAGCAACAAGGTGGCAAAAAGGCCCAGCATCAAAGATAGGACTTGGGGTGAACATAGCGACAAAAGCGTTAGGTGATGAAGATTCCTGGCCTACAGCAACAACAACAGACAGCAATCAGCATAAATGGGAGAAATTTGAAAGAAGCAACCTCCTTTACCTACCTACCTACCTACCTGGGAAGCATCGTTTCAACTACAGGTGGACGGAACTGATGAGGATATCAAAGCAGCGAGGATCAAGAAAGCAAGGCAAGCTTTCATTACTCTCAAGTCTTCGTGAAGACCAACACTACTCAGTATTAAAAGTAAGATCCGGATTTTCAACTGCAATGTGAAGTCAGTGCTACTTGCCATAGGGATCAGAGACTTGGCGCCGCGCCGCGTCACGAAGGGCATTTCAAACAAACTACGGACCTTCATCAATCAACAGTTGTCTTCGCTCAATACTACTCAAGATCAGATGGCCAGTCAAAAAAGATCAGCAACACGGATCTCTTGCAATGAACTAACCAACCCAGCAGGAACGAATTGTGCAACAAATGTGCAGGAAGAAATGGAGGTGGATTGGATTGGCCATACTCTGAGAAAACAAACCATCAAGTGACATCACATGCTAGGGTGTTGCTCGAGTTGAACCCGCTGAATGGGAAGTGGCGAGTTGGTCGTCAGTGCGGGGGTGGGGTGACATGGAGGAGGTGATGCGAAGAGGAGATGAAAGCATGTGGGCAGACGTGGATCCGGGTGAAAACGTTGGCGGAGATTCCTCTAAGAACTAATAATAATAATTCCCCCCCCCCCTATAAACAATGCCATCAAGCGACTATACAGTCAAAAGAACGTTTTAAGTACAAAACAAATACTGCAGAACAAGATTCGTTAACCAAAATTCAATCGTAAGAGGTACCCTAGAATCAAGCAGAATATACCTAACAAGGTGGGATCAAAACTCTATCACAGCAACAATTACGCACCAAACAATTCTCAAAGACAGTACAAGGTCAAAATCAACCTCATTCACTCAAACAAAACAAAATATTATCAGTATCGCTTCCTCAAGTGCAAGTGAATCGGTAAATGCATTTGGAGTCGATATTCCAATGGTAGATGATTAGAGACCTGGTAACGGAAGTCTATTAGGGAAAAACACATCATATTAATACATTCTTAGTCACAATAGAGTTTCGCTAAGTCACAGGAGAATAAATCGTCGTGATTGGCTGATGCTTGACCAGAGGTTAAAAAAATTGTCCAATGAGATTATTTCCTGACCACAACGTAAACTATATCCAAATTTGTGAAATAAACACTTCTACCTTTTCAGTTAGCTATTGATTTAAAATATCGATTTCAATTTTTGACTATTGATTTATTTTATGATTATATTATCCTTTTGATGTATATCTGTCTGAATAATTTTTTTTAACTTTTAATCTAGAACACATGATCCCTTCTCTTTACCTGTAAAATGTTTATGGTGTTATCTGGTAAGACAACCAGAAGTGGATGATATGTTTCTACGACATATATTCCGTAAACCATGCGTTGTCCAATCGACAATTACATCACAGATTAAATTCTCCTTGCCAACTGGATCCTCGAACATCTTATCTGGGATGGCTAAATCAACATCATCATTGAATTTAAAGGGTATTACATCTTCTACTTCTAATATTGGTATGGCTGGTGCTAATACTCCTACTCCTAGCACTACTACCGGCACCACCACTCCTGGAGGTGTTCTACTGGTAAGAAATTATAATGAATTTTACTTCTTTTTCTTTATATGTAATTTGAAGTTCCTCTAGCGATTTGGGGGGGGGGGGTATTTATTGTTGCAGGCTTGGGGTTTAGCACCGATTAGTAAAACTAGATTCCATACTGAAAATTAGATGGCTGGTTAAAAAGGATCAACGAACGAGGAACGTTGGCGGACAGTCAAGCAATAACTTATTCTTCAACAAATATTCAGAAGTAATAGAGATGGTTTGACCACACACGGATTGATATCATTTAGAGAGAGAGAGCGAATCATTTGAAAACCAACTAGAGAGTGCTGCACACGTGTCTGTTTCGTCCCACCGGTTTGAGACTCATTGAAAGTACGAACCCACTGACTACAGGACGAAGTCGTCAGTTAGTGGGGTCCATCCAGTTGGCAGCGAGAAACAATACTCTTGAAATAATCGAGAATACTTGTAGCTCGGGTGGATGATTTGTAATTAGTAGTGTTCTCTGAGCTGGTTGGTTTAGTTGCGAAGCTTTCGCCGTCCTTCTAGACAACATCTTCAGGCATTACATCGGCCAAAGTGGACGTTCCCTTCGAATCAGAATCCAGGAAAACATATCAGCTGTGAAAAGACATGATATATATTCTTTCATATCAATGCATACAGATAATTATGGACATCAGTTTGATTAGGAGAATGTCGAAATTTTAGACAGAGGAAACACCAAAAGTGGCAGGGAATTCCTAGAAGCCTGGTACTCAAACGAATATGCGATTAACAAACATGTTAATATAGACCAAATCTACCAACTAATAAAAAGTAAATCACATGTGACGAGAAAGTTTAGAATCCAAGTCAATAAAAAATGATCAATATACGTGTAAAGATGGTTACCGGGAGACGCAATTCTATCACTCATGGAACATTTAAATCAGCTCACTTTACGCTAAAAATTGCGCTGAAGGCGGATGTTGTCCAGAAGGCGGACGACGTAAGCTCTGCAACTAAACCAACCAGTTCCTCAGAGAACACTATTAATTACGAAACATTACTCTTGCCACGGATGACATTGGTGGCTGGTGCCAGCCTCGATAGCTGGTAGAAGTTAGAATTCAAGAGTTGGCCAGTGAGGAGGAGTTGGGTCTTAATGTGGCTGAATTGATGAATGGTCTACGAGCTTTCCTTGTAACCTGGAGGTCTTGGGTTCGAAATCCAGTGGGTCAAGCCTGGATAAATAATATCTTAGCCTTTGTGTCCTATGGTCCGCGTTAAGTAGTGTAATGTGATGAATGGATACCCACTAAGATTCATCAAAGAAAATATATAACCAAAAGTCCAGCAGAATAAAACAGTGACTGACTGACTGGTTTCAACATAGAAATTTCCACTGATGGGCAGCAGTTCGAGTTGCCTTACTTCATTCAGCATACAAAGGAAGAAAAGAAAGTAAAGAGAAATGCCAAACGTAGACAGTAAACAGAGATACAAGGCAAAAGGAATAGTAATATCGAAGAACTATATAGTTTTATTGGATATTATAAGTCAAAAGGAGTGGATGCATCTGCACCAGCCATTGACAACGATTTTGAGCCATATCACTGATAATTGTCTCCAGCCATTGGTTTTCACCCTCCAATGACCCCAGTAAGTCTACATTACTTGTTCCGAATCAAACTTCCTTGTAAATGAAATATTTTTTGATTTTTTCTTTTCATTCTACTTTCACTTTTAGTTAGCTTTTGCTTCAATAATTAATTCGCTATTATCACTCTCATATGCTCCTTTTGTATATTTTCACACCCTCTTCACACTTGTTAAATTGACATTCAAATACCTTTATTCTCACTTAATAGCAATTTTAACCTTATCAAATTTCTATCTTTTTGCCGTTGAGTACCACGTAATTTTCAACTTCTAATTTTCACTTCTAAAGCCACTTCCGAGTAATTATATCAATTATGTCTCAATAATAGACCACTATATATTTTTGTAAGTATAAATACGATTGTACAGCCTCTGAAGATGATTTCGTCGATAAAGAAAATTTTCTTCGCTGAATCCGTCTTTTATTTTCTTCATAAATCAAACTTTATATGAACCTGGATTTCAAGGGAGACTTATCCTGCGATATCCCTAAAGGGGAATTTCATCATCTTTGAGAAGAACATTCTCTGCAGCAACGCCAAAAGTATTGTTCTCGAGTCAGTCATCCATTGGTCTACGGAAGCCTTAAGTGCAAGATCTCGCCTTCTGACCACTGCTATGTGCAATTATCAGTTTACCTATGCTTGTAGAGCCAGGTCTATTGGTCCTTCGACCTGTCTTAAAGGGCTGAAAAACTATCTCACGGGGTTACAGAAAGGTAGTAGTGGCTCCATCAGGAATTCGATGGCCGGACACCTTGTCAATACTGGTCATTCCATCTCACAACAAACACTTCCTCCTTCAAATTAATCTATCTACAAAGTGAAGTATAACAACCTGCCAAAAACAATACACATTCTACTCCTTTGTTCGCAATAAGCGTATTATAGTTGCGTAATAAGACTTCTTCGACTTCTTTTGCACATTCCCTGCTGCCGAATTACGCTGTGTCTTCAAAACCACTCCTCTTTTGCGTTCGGGAGTAAAAGAGAAACTGCCTAATTTCTCCTCTTCCATGTGTATCGACCAATTTAACTGCTCCTGTAGAGTGAGCCAGTTACTTGCATAGGCCGTACAATCAGGCGTGTTTCTCGTCGAATTTCCGAACATCACTCTTCCCCTAGTGGTTAAGTAAAGGACAAACAAAATCTATTCATATAGCGCTATTCTATCTCACCTTGTGGATACAGAACACAAGATTGATGTTAATCATGCTTTCAGAGTCATTTACCATATACCGATATATCTCAATTTCGCCTTAAGAATTCGACTTCTAAATATTGCTGAGGCTGTGGGGATCCACAATAAAGAAGCCTAATTTATGCGTCTAAAAGAAGCTGGTTCAGACGTTATCCTTATCTTGGCCATCTAGGTTTGAATGATCCTGAATTTTTGTGGAAATTTCCCTAATTTTAGTTGATATTCTATTTGGTATTATATCTTTATTATTATTATAATTTAGGCATCTTTAATGAACTGTAATTCCATTGCGGTCTTAATTAACAAATCGACATTATTTAAAAAAACACTAATATTGTTATTGACTACTATTCTAGAATATTCTCTATGCATATAAACATATGCGTATAATTGTAGAGCGCGAAGAGGAAATTATCGAAAAGGATATTCTCTGCTCAATTTTTTTTGTGTTTTATAAATGTCTGAATGAATATTTTCGCTATATTGAACTCTGATTTTGACAACTCGTCACTTTTGTGACTACCCTGTTTCATGAAAATAGTTGTATATAAATTCTATTGTACAGCTGAAAAGGGAAGTGACTTCTTCAAAAAGAGCATCCTCCCTGAACTATGTTTTTTTTTATTTTCATGAATGTCTCGATGAGGATTATCCATGAATTCGTGAGTGTGCCACTCATGCAGCTGTCCACAATTCACCTTGGTTTTAGCTGATGTTTCCACCTAGATCTCTTCCCTTAGTAAAAATGTGAAGTCTAAATCCAATCAAATCTTCATAAACGTTTGTTAGTTTTATAAAAGAAAGAAAAGAAGGCGTTCAGCGAAGAGACTCTTTTCGGCGAATTCATTCACTGAGCTGTACAATCGCATTTATATACAATTTTGTTTGTGTGTGTGTGTGTGTACATTAGATTTTTAGAGTTTAGATAATTATGTATTATAAGTATTATTTGGCTTGGAGACAAACGTTAAGATAGAAAATAAAATAGACTTGATTAAGTGGATTGGATGACGTAATACAGTTGAGTAGAATTCAGAAAAGGTCAGGTTGGCAACAATGTTAATGAGTGGTGGATAAAATTAAACAAGGGTGGGGGTAGAGAATAATACAGTTGAAAATAAGTAAGTTGATCGGATGACTTAACATAGTTGACTAGAAATTGGACGTGGGTCAAGTTAGCAACATTGTTAATGAGGGTAGAGATTACAAAAGAGCGAGGTAGAAAATAATATAAATGAAGATGATAAAATGCAAAAGACAAAATAATACAATTAGTTTGTTGTTTTTTGTTGCCATGTAGACGGATATGTCAAAATCCTCGGGAAAACAAACTCGTACACAACAACAACAGCAGCAGCAATCTCAAGCTTCAAGTGGAAATCAAACAAATTCAACTGCTTTACTCCTAGATGATGCTGTTCGCCTTATTCATAAAGAACACGACCCACTGATTGCTATGTGTATTAATCAGGTAATTAACGTATAATGTTTCTTTTCAATTTGCTGTTGTTTTTTTTCGGAACTTTCTACCTCACTAGTATTTGTCAATACGTTTTAAAAAGCATTAGTGTAATGACAGAAGACAAGAGCCAGGCAACAGATCGTTTATTGAAAATATCATGAGATATTTATAGATTTTGAAGCACATTATTATTAGCGTTGTTAACAGAGGAACAACGTCTTCTGATTGATTGTTTTCTTGCTCAAGGTTATTCTGTACTGCTTGTGACCGTTGCTTACAAAGTTAAGCCATATATATCTGCGAATCGTATTTGCACACGTTAAGTCTGTTGTGATTGGTTGTTGAGTTCCTCAAGGTTAGGCTTTGTTATTGTTTTTTACCGTGACCCCGATTCGCGACGTAAACATTGACGTGAATTGTTGTCTACAATTTTGGCTTGCAGACAGCTTTCACCACATTAGTAGTTGCCAGAGGTATTTATATAATGATATAAGAATAGTCGTAGCATTGGGTTGGGTAACTGCTTTTTTGTCTAACCGCTATCCAAACAACCTTTCTGGCATGGTAGGACCTACAGGAACATACTTTCCAGCCAGTGTAGCTCGTTGGGTCATTGCGATATGCAAGCCCGACCACCACGTCAAGGTAGCGGCTTTCGGTCGGGTAAAGGAGTGCGTTGGCCAGGGTTCGAACCCCGGACCATGTGCATGGTCGGCGAGCATCCTAACCGCTTTGCCACCGATCCTAGATGTCTACGATCTCTTTCTCGCGTTAGGTGGTATAATAAGGTAAGTAATGTTGACGTTAGGCGTAGAGTGTTGGGCAAAGAGGGAAAATCACTCGAAGAGGCTATAAAGTTACATAGATTGAGATGGCTAGGTCATGTGCTGAGCATGCCTAACCATCGCCTTCCCCGACAGACGGCCATTACTAGCTGATATAGGTGCCGGTTGGTTGGAAAAGAGTAAGTGGTGGCCAAACAAAAACATGGTCTCATCAATCCAAGAAATCCTTGACAGTTAAACTGAGTCAGGTAGGGAGGGAGATGCAGACTTCCGGGTTGGGGCCCGCCCTCCGGACTCTAAGAATCAATCAATGGCTGGAGACAATAGGTGACATGGCTGAGAGTCGTTGTCAATGGCTTACGCAGATGTATTCAGTCTCTGTAATTTTTCATATTCCTTTCTACCATTACTCATTCTGTTTCACTCTTATACTTGTCAGAACTCTATTGATTCTCTTCACTCATCTTCTTGTCTACCTTTGTGTGCTATTTGGAACATGGCAACTCGAAGTGCTGCACTTCGGTGCGAAGTTCTATGTTGAATCCAGCCAGCCAGATATAAGAATAGAATTTGGGAGCTGTGTTAGAGTATGATGCCATCATACAGTAGATTTTTTTGATGATAAAGTCCCTGCCTGAATAGAGCCAGTCTCTAGTGAGCATTAGGGTTTCCAATGGTTCTCTAACTGATGTCAGCTCATGATGAAATCCTCCAACCAATTAAATTAAATCTCTACAAAAATCAATACTTGATAATAATTATTGCTGAGAAAACAGACTTCATACATTTATTCCCCTTTATGAAAATATTTGAATAAAGCAAGAACTACGTTAGGTTGTGCAGAATAAGGAACATGGTACCATCATTGTTTATTTCATTGGCTTCTCATCAGCTGCGTGTACAGCCTATAGAAATTATTATTAAGCGTATGTACAGAACAACTTGTTAACATACTCGCAAATGGTACATGATATCAGTTAATCACAGAAGACTCTAAACTTTTAATGAATAGTGCTCAGAAAGTTACACTTATACTGTTTTTACTCAAAGGGTTCAAGTTTACATTAAAGTAAATGTTTGTATACAATGGCAAAGAAGCTACGTAATAAAGACAAGAGGTGAGTAAGACGATGAGTAACTAATAAATTGAGGGATAACGTCGTGAGATCAACTCACTCAAAACATAGAAACAAGAGACGAGCAAAATTACATTCTATCAAAGGGTGGGGTGAGGTTAAAGCCAAAGATTGCGTAACCAAGCCAACCTATCAAACCAAAAGCTCCCAAGGAAGCACAAAGAAAATCACCTTACCATATATAAAGGACATCTCAGAAATCACTGCAAGACTCGTCAAACCCTTAGGAATTGATGTTGCACGCAAACCAACAAAATCACTTCACCACTCAGCTGGCTCTATGTCAACCAAAAGACTCAACAGCGAAAGAAGATAAAACCAACATCATCGACAAAATAAATTGTAACAACTGCGAAAAACACTATATTTGCCAAAGTGGACCTCCTCTTCGTCTTCGTATCCACGAACATAAGCTAGCCGTCAAAAGACATGACATCCACTCCCTCATATCACTATATACCAGACAACCACGGGCATCAATTCGACTGGGACAATGTTCAAATATTAGACAGAGGAAACAACAAGAATGCTAGAGAATTTTTAGAAACCCGCCTAGTATTCTAGTGAATCATCAATCAAGAGACACATCGAAATAGACAAAATTTATCAACCGATAAGAAAGAAACGTCACACATAAAGGGTCAAAATTCAAGTCAAAGAAACAATCAGTTCCAATACAAGTAGCCTAGAAGGTGTGAAAACACACAAAAACAATTAATCACGTCCCAGGTCACCGACCAGGAGAGATGATTAATAAACTCGTGTAGAAATCTGAAGGCTCATTTCAACACATTGAAGTATGCACTGAAGATGTCACCTAGTAAGGCGATGAAAGCTTTGCAAATTGATCATCCAGTCCAGAGAACACAAATACATCAAAATCATCCCCCTTAGCTACAAATCTTCTCCATCATATCTAGATGGTGAGTAAAGATATCCAGTTACCAGGATAGTCAAGCAAAGACTTATAACTGCTTCTTTCTGAACACATAAATTGGGTTTCAGGCGTTTGATAGAGATTGGTCCGACAAACTTAAAGAGAATTGAGCTTTTTTTCTCTATTGATAATTTTAAAAGATTTTGCGATATCTGCCTCATGATCCTTTGAGACGTAGGCTTTTTCGTACATATCAGATTCTTAGTTTCTCATCATCTTACTCAACTCACGTAACTCCTTGACTACTTTGTGCATACATTGACTTTTGTTCAAACTTGAACTCTCTGGAGATAAACTATGTAAGTGTAATTTAACGAGTTGTCTACGATCTCTTTCTCACGTTAGGTGGTATAATAAGGTAAGTAATGTTGACGTTAGGTGTAGAGTGTTGGCCAAAGAGGGAAAATCAATCGAAGAGGCTATAAAGTTACATAGATTGAGATGGCTAGGTCATGTGCTGAGCATGCCTAACCATCGCCTTCCCCGACAGACGGCCATTACTAGCTGATATAGGTGCCGGTTGGTTGGAAAAGAGTAAGTGGTGGCCAAACAAAAACATGGTCTCATCAATCCATGAAATCCCTGACAGTTAAACTGAGTCAGGTAGGGAGGGAGATGCAGACTTCCGGGTTGGGGCCCGCCCTCCGGACTCTAAGAATCAATGGCTGGAGACAATAGGTGACATGGCTCAAAATCGTTGTCAATGGCTTACGCAGATGTATTCAGTCTCTGTAATCTTTATTGATATTCCTTTCTACCATTACTCATTCTGTTTCACTCTTATACTTGTCAGAACTCTATTGGTTCTCTTCACTCATTTTCCTGTCTACCTTTGTGTGGTATTTGGAACGCGGCAACTCGAACTTCTGCACTTCGGTGCCAAGTTCTATGTTGAATCCAGACAGACAGAGACAGAATTTTACGAGTAATACTTAGTAAGTTTGAAGCCACGGGTCAACTGACATCATGTAAATTTGTATGTTAAAATTGTTTCTGTGCATAACCTTGATAATTTCTCTAGGGCTGTCTACTCAGGTGATGAGAGAGGCCAATGAAATAAACAATGAGATGGCACCATCTTATTCTACACAAACCTCTGCTGTTCTTGCTTTATTCAAAGAAAATAGACTGTTTATGATATAGCCAGTGCGTCGGTGGTATAGCGGTTAGAACGCTCGCTGACCATGCAGATGGTCCGGGGTTCGATCCCCGGCCGACGCACTCCTTTACCTCGCTAAGCCAGAAATAACGCTGGTGAAGAGGAAAGGTTGGGCATGAGGCTAGCAACCCCATCCTGTAAAAATAAACACTGCTACAGAAACTTCAAGCCACAAGTTTGAAGCCCTATGTTCCACTGGGGAACGTGAAGGAAATAAAAAAAATGATATAGCCATGGTAAAGATGAAAGTCGAACGTTCTTCTTTCTTGAAATCTGACGCCCAAAACGGTGGACCAGCGTCAGGAGCTACGTTCCTCTGGTCCCAGGTGACGAAGCCAGGTTCATACACCATTCAGCCCGTTCATATATTGTGGTGCCCATGTACTCCATAGGTTTGGGATAAGGTAGACCTCTCTCTATATGTTCACCAGTCAGTCGGGTTCTAAACGTTAGAAGTTGGCATTATCCCTTTCACTTTGGTGAGGAACTCTGTAGCTGAGAGTTAGAACTATATGCTCAGAAGACGTAATTGAAGATGAATTAAGCATTGTATATGATACTTTGATCGAAAATAGCTATCTCGAAAAATTTATCAAGAAATGCATGACAAAGAAAGCGGCGGAAAAGGACTACTCACTATCTGTAAACAAAAAAGTCACTTTATATACGACTACAATTCAAGGGTGATATACCAAGTGAGATAATTACGAGGAAGGTAATAAAATCAGTTCAAAGAACTTTTAATGCTGGCGGACTACACGTATTGTTCTCTACACAACCGATGGTGCTACCTCGACTGAAAGATGAAGTACCTAGACTAGCTGGCCACTTTAAATTGTATCTACCAATTCAACTGCGCTTGTGGTGGAGCGAGTTATATTGGCCGTTGCTCTAGGAACTTGATTTTTCGTGCTCACTCGAGAACATCTCCCACTATGGCTAAGTAAAGGTGTAGTGAAAACCATCATCAACAGTTCGATATTGAACCATCTAGTGAAAACCGGCCACAAAGCCAGCCAGCATTGAAGAATCCTTCTCTATAATATACCGGGTGCCTAATAAATTGCCAAAATCATCGAAGCACCGCATGCTCCAAACAACAGAGGCTATTGCGATTCGCGTCAAACAATCAGTGCTTTGTGCGCAAAATAAACAAGTCCAGCCATTTCTACTGCCTTGGCCTTCAGCAGGGACTATAAATTCATGAAGTTGGAAATATTATCTTTCCTAATTTTTCTGACATTCAGCTTATTTTATGTTGATGCTATTCAGCTGTAATCTATCAACATTATTGATTCGATGTTATTTAAACAACATTTATGTTGTTGTTCATAACACTAATTCATTCATTCACTATAATGTATATGTAACTGTAGAGCCTGAGAATGAGGAAGTTATCGAAAAGAGTATTCTTTGTTCCGTGTCCATTCTTTTGAGTATTTTACCTTCAGATATATATGTATAATGTGGTTTTATATATATTTATTTACATTATATGTGGTAATGCCGTTCTCCTATGCCTTTTACATCAAACTAAATATAAATAAAGGCCATGGTGGTAAGCTCTATGTCTGCGTGCATCTGTTCAAATGCTCTGTTTATGTATTTTACGCTATTGTTAAGTTAGCCAGTTAGTTAGTTTTGGGTGATGCTTAGCATTTCTCATAGATGTGTTTAATACGCTTAATTGTCTATGCTAAAGCTGCTTTTTATCTTATATTTAACAAATTCAATGTACTATTTCTTTTCCCTCTATTTTATATATATACTATGAATATCTCGGGTGTATCACATTTTTAATCGTTTGTTTTTTGAGGAAATATATATCAACTACTCATGAGTAGATAGATTGAATTTATTTAAAAAATATTTCAATGGGTGTCTGTGTCAGCATGTACTGATAGCATACTTTTTCCCTAAAGCGGCAAAGTTAAATTTTAAGCACCACTAACTACCAATGGATTGCGAACGCACCAATAACCTTGAGACACTTACTAAGCAAGTTTGTGAGACCTGGCAAATAATGTCGTCATAATCAATAAAATATGCTCATCGAAGTGTTATGTTATTAAAAGGGATATCTGGCAAGTTTCAGCTTAGGTTTGGGAAAGATTAAGTTACGGTTTAGGCCAAGGACAAGATAGGTTCAGGTTAACCTAATAAAGGCGACATTAGGGTTGGTTTCAGTTAGATTATTGTTGTTAGGGTTAGAAAACCTAAATAATTACATGCATAGAATGTGGCTAAATCGCCCTGTTGATATAAGACCAGAACTTGTGTACTGTGGTAGAGTATAATTCCATTGTGGGTAAAATTTATTTTGATGAAGTCTGACAGAGTGTTATACAGTAATATTTATTGATGACCACGTTTCGAGCACAATCTACTGCTCAGTAAATATTACCGTATAACACTATGGGACTTTATCAACATAAATTTTACCCACAATGGAATTATTCTCTGTTGATACTCCTATGCTAAACTGACAGCTATTTTTATCACATGTAAGAGGAAGGTATCCTTTGTAACGCCTTAATACAGTTTTTATGCATTTTTTTTCATAAATATATGCATTCTATACACAAAAATGCCTGCTTCACGTGATTGGTGCGTTTCGAGGTCATTTGCTGATTGGTAGTTAGTGGTGCTTAAAGTTTAACTCGGCTCCTAATGCTCTTCTAACATCTTTTGTATTGTCAATGAATTCAAGTTTCTAAGGGAAGATTTTCAGTTGGTGGATGATTTTGATGTGCTTGTGTTCTCTGAGCTGGATAGTTAATTTGCGAAGCTTTCATTGCCCTACTGGGCAACATCTTCAGCGCATACTTCAATCTGTTGGAGTGAGCTTTAGGATTTCTCCACGAGTTTATTAATCATCTCTCCTGGTCGGTGACCTTGGGCGTGATTGGTTGTTTTTGTGTGTTTTCACACCTTCTAGGCTACTTGTTTTGGAACTCATTGTTTCTTTGAATTGAACTTTGTCCTTTTGTGTGTGTGAGGTGTTTTTCTTATCGGTTGATAAATTTTGTCTATCTCGGTGTGTCTATTGATTGATGATTCACTGGAATACCAGGCAGGCTTCTAAAAATTCTCTAGCATTTTTGTTGTTTCCTGTGTCTAATATTTGAACCTTGTCAAGCACGGACATCAATTCGACTGGGACAGAAAGAACACAACCATATCAAAATCATCCACCTGAGCTACAAATTTTCTCTAGCATATCTAAGGTCTAGAATTTCATACACACATCACAGTCATTCATTGTGTGTGTACAACTTGGTGGCACATCGAAGATGCGCATGGGTAGGAGAAGGAAGGGGCTTGTTATTTGTGTACACTTTTGTTAGCTCATATCGCATTAAAGAATTAGGATTGGTCCACTTCTCAGTTTTGCGAAAATGGATCCAATATTATGAAAGAAAAGTCCGCCTTCGTAACTTCACTTTAAAGCTGCCCAGTCAGTTATTTAGGGTATATATATATAGGCAATGTAGATTGACAACGTAGGTCAAAGGTTACTGTCCGTTAGTAACGCAGAGCAAATCATAGTAGATGAATAATAAGTATGTTTGAAAAATTGGGAACAGTATTACGTAATCCAGCAGGGTGGGTGTTGAGGACATATACTTGTCACGGATGATACTGGCTAGTGCCAGTCGTGCTATATCGTGCGTGAATTGACAAAAGTTGGAATTCGTGGGCTGGCTATTGGATCGGGTCTCAGTGGCTTAATGATCTACGGGATCGCTTACCTTGTAACTGGAAGATCCTGGGTTCGAGCCCTGGTGATGAGTGCGTACTGCTGAAGAGTCTCAAACTAGGCAGACGAAAAAGCTGCCCAGTACTCCTAGCTTCTTTTCCAGTGGTTCTCTAACCAATATCAGCTCATTATGCAATCCTGTAATCAAAAGGGTTGACAACTAATTTGTTTAGTGATGAATCATTGCTTGAAAAAGGTTGATTTTGGATTAGAGAACCACTTATTGAAAAGGAGTTACAAAAAACATAAAGCGGACTACATACAGTCATTTAGGAAGACAAAGAAGGAAGGAAAATAGTGCTTAGTCCGTGGTAGTAGTAGAAGAAGCTGTATGAAATGTTTCAGAAGAACATAAAGTTCAAATTTCTCTCTCCCTAAGGATTTGCTAAGGCTTCAGCTGCATGAAGAAGTTGTAGGCGAAATCCTTCCGAACAACTTAACCGTACTTCATATATGAATTTGAAAGGAGTCTCTGCTGATTTTTGCATGACCAGAAGTAATAATATACTCTAGAATCAAGTTGTTGACATTTCCACGCTCTTCTTTTGATTGCCATGCTGGTAAGTGTTCTTGGCCGTGTCTAGGAGATACCCTGTTAGTACAGCCCATGTATTGAGCTCTCTCAACAGGAGCAGCCACCCTGAGCGATGGTCATACCACTGTTCAGTTTGTTCAATTCCTCATCGTTGCGGATGGCCGGTTGCAAGTGATGAAGAATGATACGAGTCTTCTTGTTATCATGGTCATTGGCATTCCCAGTCAATTCAAGCACTTCAGCGGTCAGGTACTCTAGGACAGCTACCAAGTGGACGGCGGCTCCAGTACCCACGCGTTCAACGTAGTTACCCTTGCACAGCAGAGAGTGCATACGACCAACTGGGAACTGAAGACCAGTCTGGGCAGATCGAGTTTTAGTCCTATTTAGAGACTTTCCACCTTTGTCGTGACCCCAATCATAATTGTACGTTAGAGCAGAGGAACGTGTACAGAAATAATTATTGTTATAGTTAGAAGTGTTACTCACGTAATTTGAAAGGGCGGAATGACATACACATAGAAACATTCAAAATAAACAATCTTGTTAATCATGATAGTCGTAATTGTGAAAGTCAAAGTTTTTCTGAATCTTTTAAAAGGTTACAGGGCTCACAATCATCATCTCTGTTCAACTCAAGAAACAATGATTAAACAACATTTCAATATAAGTTGATCGCGGATTGATATCAGTTAGAGAACCATTGAAAACCAGGCAATACTGGACAGCTGCTGTTTCATCCTGGTTCGGGAATCATCGGTAATACGCACCCACCAACAGGGCTCGAACCCAGGACCTTCCGGTTACAAGACACCTGGCTCGTATACCATCCAGCCACTGGGACCTGATTTAATGGCTAATGAATTCTAGCTTCTATCAATTCGTGATTTAGCGCGACCCCAACCATTGTCGTAGGTGGGACATCCATCCACACAAATGACATCTAATTGGACCTCACTGGTCACGACTTCTCACTAGAACTACAGGAAACTCCATCCTGGATGGATGTCCTACCAACGACAATGGTTTGGTTCGTGCTAAATCACGAATTGGTAGAAGTTAGAATTCATGAGCCATTGAATTGGGTCCCAGTGGCTGAATGGTATACGAGCCAGGTGTCTTGTAACCGGAAGGTCCTGGGTTCGAACCCTGGCGGTGGGTGCGTACTGCCGATGATTCCCAAAACTAGGATGAAACGGCTGTCCAGTACTCCATGCTGGTTTTCAATGGTTCTCTGTTACTGATATCAGTCCGTGATAAACTCGTAAAAATTATACAACTGTTGAAGTATTTTAATGTCTTCTTCTTCTTTTTATATAACACACTGTCTTCTTTGATTTTGATCATTCTATATATTTTCAGGTTAACTTCAATGCAATAGCCATAGCTACACCGAAAGAGATTATTGAATTAGATATTGAAAATTTAGTCAATCTACCACCATGGTATGCTGATGAAGTTGAATACGACTTGGAGTCAATGCGTCGGTAAGTAAAATTGTTTTGTGTTTCCTGTCGAATATATTTATATATATATATATATATATATATATATATATACATCCTGTCGGTGTTTTTTTTTGAGAGTGTACAGAGACGGTCAATGTTATCTGACATAGGATGGATCAGGCTGGAAAAGAAACTGTGATGGTGGTCAAACCAAAACATGGCTTCATCAGTCAACGAAATCCATATTATTATTATTATTATTATTATTATTATTATTGTTTCCTTTAATTCCTAGAGGAACATAGGGCTTCAGCTGTGCGTCTCCATTGCGTTCGGTCCTCTACTAGAGTTTTCACCTGGTTCCAAGTCTACCCACACGCTTTCATCTCCTCTTCACATGACATCCTCCAAGTCACCCTTGCACTGACGACCAACTCGCCGCTTCCCTTTCGGGTTCCACTCGAGCAATGGCTTGTCTAGTGATGTCACTTGATTGTTTCCTCAGAGTATGGCCAATCCATCTCCATTTCTTCCTGCCTATTTGTTGCACAATCGGTTCCTGCTGTGTTGGTTCGCTCATTGCCAGAGATCTTTGTTACTGATCTTTTCTGGCCGGCCATCTGATCTTGAGTTGTATTGAGCGAAGACAACTGTTAATGAAGGTCTGTAGTTTGTTTGAGATGCTCTTCATGACGCGCAGTGCAAGTCTCTGATCCGTATAGGTGCACTGACTGACTTCACATTGGAGTTGAAAATCCGGATGTTATTTTTGATGTTGAGTGCTGTTGACCTCCACACAGACTTGAGGAGTAGTGAAAGCTTGTCTTGCTTTTCCGATTCTTGCTTTGATATCCTCGTCAGCTCCGTCCGCCTGTAGTTGAAACGATGCTTTCCAGGTCGGTAGGTGAAGGAAGTTGTTTCTTTCAGGTTCGAAACGAAATCCATAACAGTTAGTTTAAGCCAGGCATGTAAGGGGATGTAGACTTTCCGATTGGTTGGGGTCCTGGGGATGGTAAGAACCATTGAAGACTGGAGACAACAACTGGTGATATGGTTCAAAATCGTCGTTGTCAGTGTCTGGCGCAGATGTATTCACCCTTTTCTTGATTTTCATAATTCAATAAAACTCTATTGTTCTTCGTTATTACTTCTCTTTTTGCCTCATATTTCTGTTTATTATCTCTCTTTTGATGAATCTCTCTTTATTCTCTTCTCTTCTTTTGTGTGCTACAAGGAGGGAGTGTAACTACTCGAACTGGTGCACATCTATGCAAAGTTCTATGTTGAAACCAGTCACTCAGTTAGAGAATATAGGGTAACCGGTTAATTTGAAACTACTTTGTCCAATATGCTTACCCACAAGGCAGGAAGTCTTACTGATGTTCGTCTATTCATGAGAACTGCTTTTATATATCTATAAAGCCATTTAAATTAGGTAAAATTCATAACTTGCGAAATGGTTAGCAATTTTTGAATTTAACCCAGTTCCAGTGGTGAGATTTTACCGTAGTATCATTTAGAAACCAAGTTATTCGGATCACCACAATATATGGTCTCCTTTACCTCATTAATAACAATCAGGAAAGCAAGCGAATTTGCAGCTGATGTGAATTGATTCGGCCCTCTAAGCTGAGTCTGGCGTAGACGGCTGCCTATCGACCAAAGGGCGGGTGTACTGCTCATCAGTCCGCTCCGTCCTCTTTTATGGCTGTGAGACCTGGCCATTGAGAGTGGAAGACATGAAAAGATTAGCTGTCTTTGATCATAGGTGCCCGCGTTCTATCTCCCGTGTGAAGTGGTATAATAAGTTGTGCAATATTGAGGTTAGGCTTCAGTCGAGTGCTACGTAAGTAGGGGAAATCAATCGACGAGGCTGTGAATTTACGTCGATTGAGATGGTTAGTAAATGTGTTACATATGCCTAGTCATCGCCTTCCTCGACGGGCAATGTTAGCTGATATAGGATCAGGTTGAAAAAAGGAGCTAGTATTGGTCAAACCAAAACATGGCTTCATCAGTCAATGAAATCTACAACAGATAGTGTAAGCTACGTAGAAAGGTGTAGACCTGCTGACTGGTTGGGGTCCTTGGGATGGTAAAAGCCAATGAAGGCCGGAGACTCAAAATCGTTCTCAATGGCTTTCGCAGACGCATCCACTCCTTGTGATTTATGATTTCCAATGAAACTTATATTGTTCTTCGTTATTACTATTCCTTTGTCTCACACCTCTGTTTACTGTCTCGATTATGCATTTCTCCTATTTTCTTCTCTTGCTTTGTGTGCTACATGGAGTGAGTGTGGCGACTTGAACTGCTGCACATCGATGCAAAGTTCTATGTCGAAAACAGACAGACATTTCTATGCTGAGTTAGACCGGGCATACCATTGTTGATCAGCTTGGCCCCGAATTAGCGAAACAGTCGTCCTGTGGTGTTTAGATCACCCTTCTATATCTGACTGACTAGCTGGCAAACACTGTTGTTTGATATGAGTAGTCTGGTAGGTAACTAACTGCTCACTTACCTTAATCAATCACTTAAATTAATCTTTCTCTGGTGTTTCGTTCCCTCTGATTAAGGAAGTTAATCGATCTTTGTTGGTCAAAGAGATATTCTCATCACTTCTCGCGTTCCCAGTGGAACATAGGGCTTCAAGCTTGAACTTTGAAGTTCTGTGGAACATACGGCTTGAACAAAACATCTGCACTTTGTCCTTTCTTCTGTCGTCCTCTTCAGCTTAGACCACAGTTGTTCACAATCTCTCATCTCCTTCTCACACGATTACCTCCATGTCACCCTCGTACTGACGATCCACTCGCCGTTTACCATTGGGATTCCACTCGAGTGATGGCCTGCATTGCGCGCGATGTTATTCGACGGCCTCCTTAATGTATGCCCAATTCATCTCCATTTTCTCCTACATATTTGTTGAGCGATCGGCTCTTGGTCGGTTTGTTCCCAGTCAGAGTTTCTTGTTGCTGATTCTTTCTGGCCGGTCATTTCATCTTCAGTATGGAGCCAGTAAGGCAGGTGTTGATGGAAGTCTGCAACCTGTTGGAAATTGTTTTTCTGACACGCGATGCAAGTTTCTGACCCGTGTAGAAGGACCGACTTGACATTGGTGTTGAAAATCCGAATCTGCTTCCATATGTTGAGTGCAGAAGATTTGCAAATTGGTTTCAGGTTGATGAAGGTGCATCTTGTCTTGTGGAACTGATCGCCTCACGCCGAATGTCCGGTCTTTTTCCTGGTCATACTACCAGCTAAGTGAAATTCAAGAGTACGTTGAACTCCTGTATGACCGACCGGCTAGCATTCTACAGTTAAACTACTAACGGAGATGACCACCATCATATTTTTTTTATTTATATGGGGTACAAGAAGTCCTAATTTAGTTAGATTTTGTCTCAAGTTGTTCCTTACCAGAGAAAACATACCTCTAACGTTGATGGAACACATTTTCTCTTTGAGATTTGACACCTTACTCACTCGTTATTGAAGTTAAAAGCTTTATTAATAAATCATATTGCTTATCGAATTTCAAATGGATATAATTCTCTTCAAATTAAGTGCTAATTCTTACTGCTGCGTATCGATACACTTGTGAACAACATTTAGCTAAAGCATTCTCTTGATTGCGTCGGTGGCACAGCGGTTAGGACGCTCGCCGACCATGCACATGGTCCGAGGTTCGATCCCTGGCCGACTCACTCCTTTACCTCGCTAGGCCAGAAATAATGCTGGCAAAGAGGAAAGGTTGGGCATGAGGCTAGCAACCTCATCCTGTAAAATAAACACCGCTACAGAAACTTCAAGCCACTAGCTTGAAGCCCTATGTTCCACTGCGGAACGTGAAGGAAAAAACAATTCTCTTGATTGATTAACTTACTGTCTGGTTTCAACGTAGAACTTTGCACGAAAGTGTAACAGTTCGACTTGCTGTACCATGTACCACGTGTCATGACCGGAACTACGATCTAGAAGACTATGAGCGAATACTGACTTACTGCGCTGGTTAATCCGTCCTAATCGCACGTCAACAACAACAACAGCATCAATAACACCATTGGCACGCCAAAGATAGAAGAGATGACTGGACGTTGTGATAAGAGAACTTTTACTGTCTCAAAACAACAGGCGAAAAAAGACTGACAACGCTTGCGTATGTAAATATGTTTGAAATGACCTTGAGAGGCACTAATGTCATCGATAAATTAAACATGGAACAACCAATAGGATTTTAAAGGTCACAAGTAGGGTGAGAGAAAATCAGGTCATAAACCAATAAGTGGGCTGAGAGAAGTACAAACATACATGTAATAGGGTTTTATTGGATTATAGAGGATCGCAGAGAGTGAATAAATCAGTGTTATTGCAAAAGGATTTCTAGCCATATAACACGAGAGATAGAACGCAGGCACCTATGTTCAGAGATATCTAGCCAGCCTTTTCATGTCTTCCACTCTCACTGGCCAGGTCTCACAGCTAGCCATAAAGGAGGACAGAGCGAACTGCTGCTGAGCAGTACACACATGTACTTTGATCGATGAAAGCCTCTTGATATTGACTCTAAACCTTTAACAACTGAGAATAATCAATGCACAAAGATGTACACGCACAGCCGCTGTATCGAGTCACCTACGTACATAATATAATCTCACACTTGGTCTATAAACTCCACACGTGGCTAATCTGTCTGTCTGTCTAGATTCAACATAGAACTTCGCACCGAAGTGCAGCAGTTCCAGTTGCCACGTCCCAAACACCACACAAAGGTAGACAAGAAGATGAGTGAAGAGAATCAATAGAGTTGTGACAAGTATAAGTGTGAAACAGAATGAATGAGTAATGGTAGAAAGGAATATGAAAGATGACAGAGACTGAATACATCTGCGTAAGCCATTGACAACGATTTTGAGCGATGTCACCTATTGTCTCCAGCCATTGATTCTTAGAGTCCCGAGGGCCCCAACCTGGAAGTCTGCATCTCTCTACCTGCCTCAGTTTAACTGTCAAGGATATCATGGATTGATTGATGCCATGTTTTTGTTTGGCCACCAATTACTCTTTTCCAACCTGCACCTACTGGTATCAGCTAGTAATGGTCGTCCGTCGGGGGAGGCGATGGTTAGGCATGTGCAGCACGTGGCCTAGCCATCTCAATCTATGTAACTTCATAGCCTCTTCGATTGATTTTCCCTCTTTGCCCAACACTCTACGCCTAACGTCAACATTACCTACCTTATTATACCACCTAATGTGAGAAAGAGATCGTAGACATCTATGATCAAAAACAGTGAACCTTTTCATGTCTTCAACTGGTATTGGCCATGTTTCAGAGCCATAGAGAAGGACGGAGCGAACTGTCGAGCAGTACACACGTCCCTTGGTTGATAGTCGGATGTCGCGCCTACGCCAGAGATGGTGTAAGTTAACGAAAGCAGCTCGAGCTTTTTGGATCCGTGCTGAGATTTCGTCACCAATCAATCCCTTGGTGCTGATACAACTTCCCAAATAGGTGAAGTGGTCAACATGTTCTATCACTTCACTTCCTATCACTAAGCTAGGAGTTGACGTAGTCCAGTCCTGTAGCAGCATCTTACGTTTTACATGGGCGAATCGCATGCCAAACATACAAAGATTGCTGCTCAAGGTGTTTAGAAAACTCTGCGTGGCTAATAGTGAAGTGTGTTTTTCAAACCCTTAACCCAATAAGGTTTACAATGTCGTCTTCACTAAAGAGTGACATCTAGACTCACATCAGACTGTTTGAATACAATTAAAGAATAGTCTCAGTTAGGAATTATTATTGTCATACCAATTATAAACCTGTATCTATGTTGTGTGTTTTTTTCTTGGTTTCTGAATAGGCCTCAAACACGTCGATATCCTGAAGGTGGAACTGATGATTTTATTGTTTGTGATACCGCTGGCGGTGGAGGTGGTGGTGGTGGTTCCTCGACGAAGTATGGTGGTGTTGATCATCCATCAGAGATGACTACAGCATCGAATATAACGTCATCATCAACAAGTGGGTTGTCCTCGGTTGGTGATAGTAGCTCTTCTGGTTCAGGTTCACATGTGGTAAGTTTTAAAAGCATCCCCGTTTTGTTGTCTTCCCTATAATCCTCTTCAGCTGACCCTACAGTTGCCCATAAACTATCAACTCCTCCCTACATGATCTCCTCTATGTTACCCTTGGATACACGCTCAAGTCGTCGTTCCCCATTCGGGTTCCACTTGAGCGATGGCTTGGCACAATGTGTCCCCTGACGATCTCCTCAGTGTGTGTCTGATCTATCTGCACTTCTTTTTGCCATATTTGTTGAGTAATACGTTCCTGGTTGGCTCGTTCCAAGAGTTTCTTATTACTGATACTTTCTGGCTATATCTCATCTTCAGTATGGCGCGCGATAGCAATCTGTTGGAAATGCTTTTCGTGACGTTTACGCCATGTTTCTGATCCATATAGAGGAGAATTGACCGACTTAAAATTGATGTTGAAAATTCGAATTTTGTTGTTGCAGAAGATTTCCAAACTTATGCCAGAGTAATGAATGTCCTCGTCCTTGAGGTCTTCTTATAGACCCAATGTATTCCTGTGCTCTTGCTCCCCATGTAATCCAGTCAACTACAGTTGGAAATATCATTGATGAAAGCAAGCTGGCAGCCTTGTCTTACTCCTGTCTTCACTACAAAAGATTCTTTGAGTTTTCCGTTGTGAGGATCACTTGACATGTGGTAGCACTGTCATACAGTTGTTGAATGGGATTGATAAGGATTTGAGGCACTCCCCCCCCCCTCATAGTGTTGAAGTAGTTTCCGTATTACTTCGCAGTCAACACTGTCGAAGGCCTTTTCAAAGTCGATGAAGTTGATGTGGTAGAGATTTGACTGCTATTCTATGAGCTCTATGTTCGATGATAATGATGACATCTAGAATTGCAGTTTGATCCACGCACACGATTTGCCTTTCCTGAATCCAGCTCGTTCTGACTATAAAATCCCAATTAGAACTACTAGAAAATCATAATGAGATTAATCGATCGACGTTGTATAACAATCGTACCGAAGTTTTAGATTATTTGTCATCATCATTTGTCATATCTACCGATTGGTTGAATAGATCACTCATGCCACCGCAGGTGCTCCCATCTCTTAAGAGTAAAAGAGTAGGGAAAATCACTTTCTGGACCGAAATGCTCGGTCCAATCAATCGGCGAGAAAATGTAAAATTCAATAAAATAATTTAGCAGACCCGCCGCACAAGAGGTGGCTCTTGTGGCCCAAGTGGTCTGGTGGATAACACTTCGGCGTTTGTACCTATGGGCACTGGGTTCGAGTCTCGGTGGGAACACCATCACTCACTGTAGAATGCAGGTACATCCAGATGACGAGTCCCAAATAGGACGAAATGCGAGTCCATCGACCAATTAAATTCATTGGTTGGTGTTCATGAATTAGTTTAGCATCGTTTCGATGTTGGTAGTGAAAACCACTTTATCTGATGGTTGGATGATTGTGAATGTGGCCATCGGGAAGTCTTGTTTTGTGCTAATTGGTATTCATCAACTAGGCTAGTCTGTAACCTCAGTGGATATAATTCCTCTTAATAGATTCGAACTGTTTTTCTTAAATTTTTCAAGAGTCAGTTTGTAGGCATTTGAGTGGTTTCAAGTTTTATCATGAGCTGACATCAGTTAGAGAACAATTCAAAGCCAACTAGGAAGCACCGGACAGCTGTTCGATCCTAGTTTGTGACTCATAGGCGGTACGTACCCCCAGGGGATTCGAACCCAGGGTTACAACTCAAACTCGTAAAACCGTTTAGCCACTGAAAGGCGATTCATTGACGAGCCCATGAATTCTAACTTCTGCCAATTCATGATTTCAGCGTGACTGACACCAGCCATCAATGTCATCGCTCGCGGATATTTGTCCTAACTTTGGATCTAGTTGACTCCGCTAACTGGTCACCCCTTCCCACTAGAACTCCAGGCAACTATGTTCTGTAGTCAGATCTATTTTCAAGAATTAGTTTGTGATTCGGATATTCGTGGGTCATTGAGTTACCTCCCAGTGGCTGAATGGTCTATGAGCTTTCTTTGTAACCGGTAAGTCCTAAATTCGAACCCCGCTGTGCTCCCACTGCTGAAGAGCCCCAAACTAGGACGAAACAGCGCTGTCCATGTGGCTGGTTTTCAATGTTTCTCCTAACTGATATCACTCCATAATCAAACTTGAAAATCAGATATGCAAAATAAGATGAGGCTTTCCCACACAAAAAACTTGGAGGATCTGGACTTCGTCGATGTAATATATGTCTGATTTCCCACAAACACTGGAAGATATACAAGTGAAAAGCAGCAAGTTGGCAGAAGAAGCATCAAAGATAGGACTTGGGGTGAACATAGCGAGAAAAGCGGTAGGTGATGAGGATTCCTGGCATACAGCAACAACGACAATCAACATAAATGGGAGAAATTTGAAAGAAGCTACCTTCTTTTCCTACCTACCTACCTCGGTAGATAGGATCTTCTTAACTACACACAGACGGGACTGATTAGGATATCAAAGCAGTCGCGGATCGGGAAAACAAGGCAAGCAATCATTACTGTCATGTAAGTCTGTGTGGAGATCAACAGCACTCAGCATGAGAAATTACATCCGGATTTTCAACTTCTGTGTGAAGTCAGCGCTATTTACTATACGGATCAGAGACTTAGAGCGTCATGAAGAACACTTTGAACAAGCTACAAACCTTCATTAACATCTGTCTTCACTCAGTACTACTGAAGATCAGATGACCGGACAGGAAAGATCAGCAACAGGGATCTCTGGCAATGAGCTAGCCAAGGCAGGAGGAACCAACTGTGTAAGAAATATGCAGGAAGAAATGGAGATGGATTGGACTGGCTATACTCTGAGAAAACATACCATCAAGTGAGTGACATCACACGCCAGGCATTTGTTTGAGTGGAACCCGCCGAATGGAAAGTGACGAGTTGGTTGTCAGTGCGAGGGTGACATTGAGGAGGAGGAGGTGATGCGAAGAGGAGATGAAAGCATATGAGCAGATGTGGAGCCAGGTGAAAACGTTGGCAGAGAACCGGACTCAATGGAGACGCACGGCTGAAGCCCTATGTTCCTCTAGGAACTAAAGGAAACAATGATAATGCTCTTTTTTCTTTCTCTTTGGCTGCGTACAACCTAAAAGGTAATTGTGTATATGTGAGGAACATCTTAACAAACTTGCAAGGTTATACGAGTTTTTGGTTAACAAAGATGTGGAATTAATAAATAATGCTCAGAAGTTACACTTATATAACTTATGTCCAAAGAGGTCAAAGTTTAAACAAGAGATACAAATATACACAATTAATGATCGGATACATTGGAAACATTGAGTTGCACAGACAAAACAAGTAGTGGTGATCGATCGATGTGTCGACTTCTCATTAGGACGTAACAAATATTTCTTCAATAATACTCAATCTACTATTTATATTTTTCAGTAGTATATTTTAATATTATCTCATTTTTGATATAACTTACAAATATATATATATATATATATATATGCATATTTGGATTGCATTGTTATGTATGTATATATATGTATACAGTTCCGTAGTATGCACCTCCATCCTCTACACGCGAATTTGGCAAATTTATCTAAACAAGCGTTGGAACGCAGCAGACGTCTAGCCACTACGGTATATTACTATTATTATCGTTACTGCTATATTTTATCGCTATGACTGTTTCTACTCTCGCTCTCTTTCTCTCCAACCCTTTTCTTCCTTAAATTTCCTGTTGCATGCTCTCGTCGTATACGTTATATTCACATGTATGCTTGTGTTTGTGTGTATGCGCGTTTGATCTGAGTGTTGTGTTCAGTTGATTATTTCTTAGAGGACAAGAGAGAACAGCTGTAAGTACTCAGTTCTTTCAGTGAGCGATACTCATTGTGTCAGTTGAATTGATTATGCCACCCAGCTTGCTCAAGATGAATTAGATAGAACTGAAATCGGAGGAGGGTCAGGCTGGAAAAGAGCTAGCGGCGGTCAAACGAAAACATGGCACCAGTCAATGGAATCCACAACAGTCACGTAGGAAGGTGTAGACTGCCCGACTGGTTGGGGTCCTCGGGACGGTAAAAACCGATGGTTGGAAACAATTGGTGACATGGCTCAAAATCGTTCTCAATGGCTGGTGCAGATGCATCCACTCCTTGTGACTTATGATTTCCAATGAAACTGGTTTGTTCTTCGTTATTACTATTCCTTTGTCTGACACCTCTGTTTACTGTCTCTAATATGCATTTCTCTTACTTTCTTCTCTTGCTTTGTGTGCTACATGGAGGGAGTGTGGCGACTTGAACAGCCGCACATATGTGCGAAGTTCTATGTCGAAAACCGACCGACCGACCGAGATAACAGAAAGTTTCGAAAAAATGAAATGAATGTTTGTGTAAAACTTGTGGGGCACACTGTGATATCATGGTAATTTCCCTATTAACTTGCTTATTAGATATATCACACACACACACACAGTGAAACAGTATTATTATTTACTGGATGACAAAATTTCGAACACAATTTACTAAATGGTTCACAATCATATGATCGATTGTAACTGGAAAAAACTTTGGAACTTTCTTTTTATAGTTTCCATTATTCCTTCCTATTTGAACATAACAAATCGAAGGTGGAGGCTATTCAATTCACTTATGAATTGGAAAGTCAGGAAAGGTGGGGGAGCTTTCAATGTTAGATTGTAGCGTAAAAAAGAAAAGAAGATGGGAAGTTAAACACACTAGTGTTTACAGAAAAAACCTACACATTCAAACCGATATTTGGATTTCCGATCATCCCACCCATATGTCAGTAAAAATAGGATTGGTTAAATGTGTAATTCTTAGGGCAGAAAGACCCAAATAAATACCAAGGAAAATCTAAGACAGGAAGTGAGGCATATAAGAGAAGCTTTAAAACTTAATAATTATCCTGATAAATTTATCAGGAAGTATATAGAAAAATGTAAAAATAAAATTAATAATAATGACAACATGCTTAGAATGATGACAAGACCAACAACGGTCAGGAATTTAAATCATCAGAAGTACCCCCATACAAAGAAGGAACCTTGGAAGGTTTACGTAGAATTCTTAACAAGGCAGGTGGGCAGGAATAAAAGTGGTCTTCAATCACTACCTACCCACAAACTCACATTTCCGGTTAAAGGATCCTGTGGAGCCAATAAAAGAAAACAGTTTAGTTTATCTAATACCCTACTGGAGTGATTGTCAGGTCAAATACATAGATCAAAGTATTAGAACGGCGTCCGTCAGTCAGTCAGACTAGTGGGGCACAAAAACCGAGCAAAATCTAGATTAGTTGACCCGAATAAGATAAGAAATCTGGAGAATAGCTGAGCTATATAGCACTGCATGCAATTACACACACAACCATATAATACGATGGGATGGGATAAGATGACAGTTTTAAAATGTAATATAAAAGGATGGAGGGAGACAGTGAGATATCGGGAGCTTTACTTATTGTATCAACTGAAAATACGTGTAATGAAAATGATTCAACATCTGTCAACCCGGATATCTGGAAAAGTCTACTACCCCTACAATGATGAATAGGAAGGAATAAAGAAAACTATAAAACAAAAGTTTCGAAGTTGTATAGTTACAATCGATGATATGATTATGAAAAATAATAAATTGTAATTTGGTGAATGGTAACTAGCACTGGAATCCAGGGCTCTCGTTTCTTCCCATTTGGGACTCGTCATCTGGATGTACACCTGCATCGCCCAGTGAGTCATACTGTTCCCACTGAGATCCGCACCCACGAAGGTATTATTCACTAGACCACTTGGTCCACGAGATGTACCTCTTATACAACGGGTGTCAGCAATTATTTAATTCAGTCTGAACTTTCCCACTGACGGATTGGACCGAAATGCTCGGCCTCAGGTTGATATGTTGGCTCCTTGTGCGGCGGATGCTTCGATTATGTCTGATTATTTAACTGAGTTCGATCCTTAGTGGGAACATCGTCACTGACTCACTGGGGAATGCAGGTACATCCAGCTGATGACGAGTCCCAAATAGGACGAAATGAGCATCCTAGTGGATTCCACTGCCAGCTACTCATCCTCCACCAATTTACTTCAAGTTAAATAATCAGACATCGTCGAAGCATCCACAGCTCAAGGAGTTGACTTCGGTCCAATCAATAAACGGAAAAGTCCAGAGTGACTTACGTAATAAATTACGGTCAAAACGTCGTTATCCAGTAGACAATAATACTGTTTCACTCTGTATGATACATATATATCCAGTAAACAAGTTAGAATGGAAGAGTAAATAAAGAAGACGAGATGACTATCATGTAGATTTTGCTGTTTTTTGATTGAACACTAGTCAGGAACTAGTGTAATGTGCCTAGTCCTATCTTCGGTGCAGACTGAATTCTATCAGTCATGTTTGCAATGTGGCCACCATGCTAGGTGGCTCGCCATTACGGTGTGTTGTGAATTGTTGATATTAGATGGTTGGAGGCAATCGGCAGGAAGCCTTGGACCTAGGTTTCGTGCTAGTTGGCACTCATCTGCAACCTTCAAGGAACTCATGTCCCTTCTGAGATTCCAACCCACATCACCCAGTGGGGCTGCAGTCAGAGACGTTACCACTGAGCTATTCAGGCTCGCGACTGACCTCCTGTAGGACTGTATTGGATATTTTTGATTGAACACTAGTCAGTAACTAGCGTAATGTGTCTAGTCCAATACAGTGCTACAGGAGGTCAGTCGCGAGCCTGAATAGCTCAGTGGTAACGTCTCTGACTGTAGCACTGAGTAACGCGGGTTCGAATCTCAGAAGGGACATGAGTTCCTTCAAGGTTGCAGATACGCCTTGCTGATGAGTGCCAACTAGCACGAAACCTAGGTCAAGCAAGGCTTCCTGTGGCCGATTGCCTCCAACCATCTAATACCAACAGATTCCGTTGTCACCGGCCTAATGTCTCTCTCTCTCTAACTTGGCTCTTTATATCGTTGTTGTGTCTAGGTACAGTGTATATATGGTCCTATGTGTCCATGTGTGTGTGTGTGTGTATGAATTCGATTCCCTGTTGTTGTTGCTGCTGCTGCTGTTGTTATTCGTCTCTATCATCTTGATTATGCAATGTGACGTAGTATCGTTGTTGTCGCTATATGACACTGTTGTTTGTTCCCTTTATGAATTTCGACAACACAATAAGAAGACGCAGTTTATCTGAAATACGTGTAATGTGTATTGGCTCAACACATTTCGGACATTCTGATCACACACACGAGTACTTGTCATACACAGTTTTTATATATAATGCAAGAAGGCATGAATAATTACAATACAGGTCAGATGGTATACAGATCAAGGTCACAAATAATGGGTAGGGAGACACAAAAGGTGTAGGTAAGAAAGATAAAAGGAGAAATAATAGAGAAGATTTGTAGCTCAGATGGATGATTTGCAATTAGTAGTGTTCTCTGAGCTGGTTGGTTTAGTTGCGAAGCTTTCGTCGTCCTTCTGGACAACATCTTCAGCGCCATATTTAGCACAATGTGAAATGATTTAAATTTCCTCATGAGTGAGTTACCAGGAGACGCAATTACATCACTCATGAAGAAATTTAAATCATTTCACATTGTGCTAAATATGGCGCCGAAGATGTTGTCCAGAAGGACGACGAAAGTTTCGCAACTAAACCAACCAGCTCAGAGAACACTTTTAATTGCAAATAAAAGGAGAAAAACAAGGCAAAGAAGGGGTTGAAAATATTATGAAGTAAATTGGTCCTTGGTTCTAAATTCGATTACCAAGGCAGGTTTAAGGTGATAACAAATAACTTTTGGATACATAAGACAGGTCTCTGCAGGTTAGGCCTACAGAACACATTCCAAAGTGGCTGCAACAACAAATGAAATCGCCAGACACAATTGAACCCGGAAATAGATGTCCAACATCATCTATAACGAAGCATATTATAGAGACGGGTCATAAGGTTGATTTTAATAATGCCTTTAAACCCATATATAAAACAAAGTTGGGCCACATACTTAAATTCATTGAAGCCTTAGCCATAAAAAGACTTAAACCTGTCTTATGTGTCCAAAAGTTATTTGTGATTACTTTAAATCTGCCCTGGTAAGCCAATTAAGGATACTTATTCAAACTACCAAAGAAAGGAGACCTAAGTCAATGCAAGAACTGGCGCGGAATTATGCTCCTGTCCATCCCAAGCAAAATTCTGAGCCGCATCATCCTGGAGAGAATCAAACATGCCCTAGATGAAAAACTTTGACTGGAACAGGCTGGATTCAGGAGAAACAAGTCATGCATTGATCAGATCGCCACATTACGGATCATCATTGAACAAAGCTTGGAATGGCAGTCACCTCTCTATCTCAACTTCATCAACTTTGAAAAGGCATTCGACAGCGTCGATCGAGAGGTGATTCGGAAACTACTTCGCTACTATGGGGTGCCACCGACAATTATACATCTCATCCAACAGCTGTACGACAATGCTGCATGCCAAGTAATCCACAACGGGAAACTTACGGAATCCTTCGAAGTGAGGACAGGAGTAAGACAAGGCTGCCTACTATCGTCAATGATTTTCCTGATTGCAGTAGATTGGATAATGCGACAGACAGTGGGCAATGAGGAAACAGGCATAAAATGGACTCACACAAAAAACTTGGAGGATCTGGACTTCGCCGATGATATATGTCTGATTTCCCACAAACTGGAAGATATGCAAGCGAAAAGCAACAAGTTGGCAGAAGAAGCATCAAAGATAGGACTTCAGGTGAACGTAGAGAAAACAGAGGTAATGAAGATTCCTGGACAAGAACAACAACAACAACAGACAACGATCAGCATAAATGAGAGGAACCTGAAAGAAACAACCTCTTTTACCTACCTTGGAAGCATCGTTTCAACTACAGGCGGAACTGACGAGGATATCAAAGCAAGAATCGGAAAAGCAAGACAAGCTTTCACTACTCTCAAGTCTGTGTGGAGGTCAACAGCACTCAGCATCAAAAATAAGATCCGGATTTTCAACTCCAATGTGAAGTCAGTCAGTGCTACTATACGGATCAGAGACTTGGCCAGCGCGTCATAAAGAGCATCTCAAACAAACTACAGACCTTCATTAACAGTTGTCTTCGCTCAATACTCAAGATCAGATGGCCGGTCAGAAAAGATCAGCAACAGAGATCTCTGGCAATGAGCGAACCAACGCAGCAGGAACCGATTGTGAAACAAATAGGCAGGAAGAAATGGAGATGGATTGGCTGGTCATACTCTGAGGAAACCATCAAGTGACATCACTAGACAAGCCATTGCTCGAGTGGAACCCGAAAGGGAAGCGGCGAGTTGGTCGTCAGTGCAAGGGTGACTTGGAGGAGGTCATGTGAAGAGGAGATGAAAGCGTGTGGGCAGACTTGGAGCCAGGTGAAGACTCTAGCAGAGAACCGAACGCAATGGAGACGCACGGCTGAAGCCCTATGTTCCTCTAGGAATTAAAGGAAACAATAATAATAAATAAGCCAATTAAGAACCAAGGTTCAATTTACTTCATAATATTTTCGACCCCTCCTTTACTTTGTTTTTTTTCTTTCTTACCTACACCTTTGTGTCATTCCCTTGATCATAATGATTCATGCCTTCTTGTCTTCTATAAAAACTGTGTATGACAAGTACGTGTGTGTGGTGGGAATGTCCGAAATGTGTTGCGCCAATACATTACACGTATTTCAGATAAACTACATCTTCTCATTGTGTTGTCGAAACTGTTGTTAATGTTGTAATATATGTGTAGTCTTTGGTGTAATGTGCTCTACATATATATGTGTGTGTTTCCATACCATCAGCTGTCTTCTCATCTATTTCTACTACATTTATTCCATTATTTCAACAAATAGATATTGAAACGAACACTTCCAGCTGTCTACAGTTTAGCGTCACATCCAACAATGCCATATTGTAAGTAAAGACCACCATTTTATTCCTATTATTATTATTATTATTATTACTATTATTATTATGTGCCATCATAACTGAACTAAAAGTAGAAAGCAAAATGATGAATATGGGGGATGATTGGGGAGACGAGCTTCGTGGGCTTTTAGAAGTGTGTGTGTAACCGATTGTTACTTCCCGGTTGCCCCTCTCCGGACCGTGGAAGTCTACTTTTTCCTGAGGTAGGTACTTGAAACAGAAAGAGAATTAGTTTTACGCGTGAGTGCAGAGCCCAAGGAACAACTGCTCAGCGCCGCCGGCTACGGACCACCTCAGGGTTAGTCGAGATGTACAGTTTTTCGCGGTTGACCTTTTGCAACCCCTCTCTCTCCAGAGTGGAAAAGCAGCATAACTGGCGCATGCTGGTCATTTCAGGGAAACACCTTACTGCTGTTACACATCCCTTCCCACCACCGAGCATAGTGTAAACATGTTACACTATGACGCGGTAACTGCTATTAGTCTGTGTTCTCTATCATTGCGAGGGAACTAAAAGCCCAGGATCAGCAACCAACTGAACAGTATTTTTTAAGGTAAAAACTCTTTAGACAGGTAGGTTTCAAATAGTAGCGAGTGTTTCCTGACTGACTGACTGACCGACTGACTGACTGACTGACTGACTGACTGACTGACTGACTGACTGACTGACTGACTGACTGACTGACTGACTGACTGACTGACTGACTGACTGACTGACTGACTGACTGACTGACTGACTGACTGACTGACTGACTGACTGACTGACTGACTGACTGACTGACTGACTGACTGACTGACTGACTGACTGACTGACTGACTGACTGACTGACTGACTGACTGACTGACTGACTGACTGACTGACTTGGTTGAAGTATGTATCACTCATTAAGTATCACCGCCCTTCTGGATTTCTAACCTAGAGTCTGGACTATATGAAGAATTGGGAATCATCTAATTAGATTTGTCAAGATGCTTCAAGACCATCCATCACGCAATCCAACAGGAGTAAGACAAGACTGTCTACTATCACCTACGATGATATACCTGAGTGAGGTAGACTGGATCATTGAGTAGTCTGCAGGGAGTGAGAAGACGGATGTACGTTGAACTGACATTAAGACTAGAAGATTTGAACTTCTTTGGCCAGCTATTTCTAATGTCTAAGTAACTTAAAAATCCCCATTCAGTCATGTAAAAGAAAAGAAGGCGTTCAGCGAAGAGACTCTTTTCGGCGAATTCATTCACTGAGCTGTACAATCTCATTTATATACAATTTTGTTTGTGTGTGTGTGTACATTAGATTTATAAAGTTTAGATAATTACGTAATATAAGTATTATTTGGCTTGGAAACAAACGTTAATTAGATAGAAAACTAAACAGAATTGATTAAGTGAATTGGATGACGTAACACAATTGAGTAGAATTTAGAGTAGGTCAGGTTGGAAATAGTGTTAATGAGTGGTGCTTAAAATGAAATAAGGGTGGGGGTAGAGAATAATGCAGTTGAAAATTAAGTAAGTTAATCGGATGACGTAATACAGACTAGAAATTGGACGTGGGTCAAGTTAGTAACATTGTTAATGAGGGCAGATATTACAAAAGGGTGGGGTGGAGAATAATATAAATGAAGATGTGAAATAATAAAATGCAAAAGACAAAATAATACAATTAGTAAGACTGAAATTAAGAAAGATTACGTCCATTGTAGATTTAATGAGTGAACGAATTTCTTTTGTATGCAGAGTTCAGGATTTAGCAGATGAATTGCCATTGCTTCTGCGATGTGGAGAAGTTTAATCCGTACACTTTTGGCAAGATTGCTTTGTATTCTGTAGATAACTTTGAAGTTTATTTGTGGTTTGATTTGGTGTCCTGAATCGATCAAATGTTCAAGGATCGAGCTGCGGGGGCATCGGTTTTCTCCTTTATAAAACCATGAAGGTAAATGTTCGTTGACGCGTTTAGATAGCGAACGCTGAGTACGGCCGATATACCTGGCTCCACACGAGTAGGTGAATTGGTAGATGCACATAGATGAGGCCAAACTCGAAGATATATGGGCGAAAATCAACTGCTTGGCAGAAATGATAGTGACGAAAGGACTTCAAGTGAATATAAAGAAGACGGAAGGGATTAAGATATCTAATCAAAACTAACAAGTACCAGTCATCACCAAATGGGAGGAAACAAAAGAAAATCGCCTCTTCCACATGAACTCGTTTCAACAACATGATCGCGTTGGGAAAGCGAGACAGGCGTTCATTACTCTGAAGACCATAAAGCAGTCTACTGCACTCAGCCTAAGGAACAAGATCTACATTGTCAACACTAGTGTCAAGTCAGCTAGTGCTTCTCTTATGGATTAGAGCCTTGTCGCACGTTCGCGTCACGTAAGGTGTTTCCAACAAGCCAGTACAAACTTTCATCAATAACTTGTAGGATTTTGAAATGATACAGGGCTCTTGTATATCGCACCAAGCCAATGAAACCATCATCACCAATACAACTGAATACATTGGTAACAAAATCTTGCAAGACAGACAATTCTGCATACTGAAATAATAGAGAAGATTTGTAGCTCAGGTGGATGATTTGCAATTAATAGTGTTCTCTGAGCTGGTTGGTTTAGTTATTTTATTTTTATTTTATTTTGATTTACAGCTTGATTCCACACCGTATTTTCAGTACAAGTATGGAATTTTCAGCATGGATATCGGTAGCCCAAATTTACAGGCCGACCATAGATATCGGGTGTGCGCCGGCAGGGGATCGAACCCCGGACCATGTGCATGGTCGGCGAGAGTCCTAACCACTGTGCCACCGACGCACCATCCAGAGCTGCAGAGCTTTCATCGTCCCCCTGCTGGACAACATCCCCTTCAGCGCAATTTTTAGCACAAAGTGAAATGATTTAAATTTCTTCATGAGTGATGTAATTGCCTCTCCCAGTAACTATCTTTACATATGTGTATTGACCATTTTCTATTGACTTGGATTTTAAAATTTCTGGTCACCTGATTTACTTTTTATCAGTTGGTATATTTCGTCTATATTAACGTGTTTTTTAATTGCATATTCGTTTGAGTACCAGGCTTCTAGAAATTCTCTGGCACTGTTCGTGTTTCCTCTGTTTAAGATTTCGACATTATCCCAATCAAATTGATGATCATAATTGTCTATATGCATTGATACTAAAGAATACATATCGTGTCTTTTGACGACTGATTTGTGTTCTTGGATTCTGATACGAAGGGGACGCCCACTTTGTCCGATGTAATGCCTGTTGCAGTTCATACAATTTATTTATTTTTTGCAACTTAACCAACCAGCTCAGAGAACACTATTAATTGCAACTTCTGCATACTGGTGAAGAGTCCAAAACCAGGACGAAACAGCTATCCAGGACTCCGTCATTTTTTAATAGTTCTTTAACTGATATGAACTCTTCATCAGTTGTGTAACCAATCAAAATCCCCGCAAGCCAACAGCTGATAATTCATAACTTCACTGCTAAACAAGCCCTGAAAATGCTTTTTTTCCTTCAGGAGTACAACGAATTCTTCCCAGTCAAACATTTCAATCATTTCTTCAGGTTCTACAGTAGTAATAAATCCATGAATATTAGAATACAAATAGATAGTAAAGCTGAATGTTGAGAATTATATCAGAAAATGTATTGGGGTGTACAAGTATGAGGTGGAATATAAGTAGTCCGTCAACTAAATGTTGTATACAAAATGTACAGCCATTCAGAACATTCAATGAAGTGTGAATAGACAATGAATAGTTGTTTCTTCCTCGACCAAAAGTCTCTAGCACTACGAACCAGCCAGGGCTCGAACCTGGAACCTTCCGATTACAAAGCAACCAACCTTGTAGATCATTCCGCCACTGGGACTCGATCCAATGACCGACCTATGATTTCCAACTTCTACCAATTCGTGATTTTAACGCGACTGGCACTAGTTGATGTCTTTGCATGGCAAGTATTTGTCGTCACTTCTAACCGGATGGACCCCACTGACTGATGACAATTTCTCACTAGAATTCTGGCCACTAAGTAGTAGTGAGAGCTGTCTGAATGTCAAATCGTAAGCAACAATTTACGTCAATATGTTTACGTCCCGAATCGGGGTCATGAGTAAACACAATAACTAAAGTCTAACCTTGAGGAACTCAACGACCAATCACAGCAGACTTAACGTGGGTGTAGATGCGATTCGCAGACTGGACTGTCTAAAAAACGGCCACAAAAAGATGACAGAATAACCTTCAGTGAGAAAACAACTAATGAGAAGACGTTGATTCTCTGCTAACAACAATGTACATAGAAATCTATAAATATCTATTGATTTCGCTCATTAAACGATCTGTGTTGCCTGGCCCTTGTCTTCTGTCTTTTACAATTTAACCAAAATTCACACACGCAGTATTTCTTACATCTGTTGTTTTTTTTTTATATTTCTACACTTCAAGACTTATCCGGGACAGGTACTGGTTCAGTGCATATGTTCGAGTGGTCAACGCCTGTCCCTGTTGTTGCTGGTTTTACAAACACTTTCAGTTTGACAGCTGCTGGTGCATCAGGACAATTTCCAGCTGGTTCTAGAGGTGCTCGTGTCACAGCACTACAATTCGATGATAGTGGATATCGAGTAAGTTATATAGATAGTGCATTTATCAATTAAAGAGAACTATTGAAATCTAGTAGAGAGTATACCGGAATGCTGTTTCGTCCTAGTTCGGGTTTTTTCAGTGCAGTATTGTCACTGATGACCGACTACCTATGCCTACTCTCACCGGGAATCGAACAAAAGTTAGAATTCATTGACTGGCCATTGAATTCCATCCCAATGTCTGAATGAGTGGTCAATGAGCTTACTGTGTCTTGGGTTCTATCCCTCGTGGGCACTTGGGTGCGTATCGATGAAGAGTCCCCATCTAGGACGAAACAGCTGTCTAGTACTCCTTGGTGGTGGTTTTCAATGGTTCTCTAACTGGTGTGTCAGGTATTATTAGTTGTTTTTAATTCAGTAATTTGGTAGGTGGATGGTTTATTTACCAGGGAAGTTAACATAATGATGATAATGAAACATATTAAAAACGACATTTTTACTTGAAAATGTAATCAATGAAATTTGCACATGAATTCGTGCATAACGTTCATACTGGCTCCGTAATAACGGCAGGTTCTGTAATTATCCAATGAATGGTATGCGCTTAAGGTCATTGGTGCGTTAGCACTCCATGGTCGATATTATTCTTCTTCATTTTGGCTCACAACTCAATCTAGATTGTGGGTCAACAATAAACCAGTATGATCTGGATGACAATATCTCACAGTAGGATAACCATTACTCACTAAAATGGAGGTGCATCCGTCTGAAGAATCTCAATTAGGACGAAACACACTCTCTTGATTCCATTACCAACTAGGAACTATTTTGTCAATGGAGAGCGAACATTCCTCTCCATTGAGATCAGTCAAGGAGGAGGGATGGTGGAATTCAAAACAGTTTCACCATATAACACATGAGTGTGTTAAATTGCCTGCCTACATGGTGTGATAAATTTTCGGGATTCAAGTGTTGGTTTGTAGATATTTGATTAGTTACAGGATTTTATCATGAGCTGACATTGGTTCGAGAACCATTGGAAAACCAGCAGGGCGTAATGGACAGCTGTTTCGTCCTAGTCCTGTGGGACTCGTTATCAGTAAGCACCCACCGCCAGCGTTCGAACCCAAGACCTTCTGGTTTCAATGCGCCATTAAGCCATCGTGACCCGACCTGCTGTACCCCACTAGTCATGACTTCCCACTAGAACCCAGGTAACCACCTACCTGAATAGGGTCAGTCGCAAGCGATGTTCAGTTGTTGGTTTTGAAGGGATTTGATTTCATTGGTTACAGGATTTCATCATGTGGTGGGTGTGTACTCCTTCTGAAAAGTCCCAAACTAGGCTGACGAAACATCTGTGTCTAGTACTCCCTGACGGGTTTTCAATGGTTCTCTAACCGATGTCAGCGCATGATAAAAAAACTACTCAGTTCACAATGCTCTTTCGTCTACGTTTCGATAAATGGTTGGCAATACGTGATGAGAATCAAGAGTCAATAAGGATGTTTGGATTGTCCTGTTATACACAAATAACCCTGACAAATTATTGACCTTTCATATGCGCCTTAACAAAGTCTCAATGATACAATTCAACCAATCACACATTAGTGAAAAGTTAACCTTGTCCTACCATTATTAACCAATCACTGAGAAGCTGATGAAATATTAAACTTCATGGTGATTGGTTGATTTTTCACCCAGTTTGACTGAATAAATTGACTGAATTAAATTCGCTATTAACAATTTCGAAGTGAAATTCATTATTCGGATAACCACAATATGTGATCTACTTGATCTCATAAATAGTTTTTTTACGAGTTGATCACGGATTGATATCAGCCAGAGAACCATTGAATACCAGGGAGTACCGGTCAGCTGTTTCATCCAACTAGTTTTGGAATCATCGGTAGTACGCACCCACTGGGGTTCGAACCCAGGACCTTCCGGTTACAAGGCCAGGTATTCAATAGTTCTCTGGCTGATATCGATCCGTGATCAACTCGTAAAAACAAAACTAACTCTTACAAACCAAACTATAGAAAATAGTGTTTTTTATTTTCTTCAAGGAAGAGAGCATAGATAAATGCGTGACGCTATATACTACTAACTGACCGACTGACATAAGTAGTTGTGTATACCAACAATGTGAAACAGTAGTGTTTAAATAGTCAGAAACACTAGACAAACCAGTCTGGTCGTTTAGGGATGGACTCATCCATCAGTGTGTGATATACTAGGTTCAACTGTGCTCAGAGAGAGCTGAATCCGTGTTCATACTACCCAATACATTGTGACACACACAATATCTAGAATATACTGCATTGGATCAATTGCATGCAAGTAATTGATTTATGGTGTTCTTGGTGAACAAACAGCTGGCAACAGTAAAGAATAGACACCAACCTCAGACGACCTTGAAATAGCCAATCAGATTGTTCTAGGTGAAAAGCTGTACTTAATTTATAAAGAAGTGTGTCACGGAACTTAGCCTTAAGTTCCTATTGTAACGAAGACGCTTTGAACCGATAATGACTATGTACTCGTCTCGACTTCAACTCCAAAACACCAGTAGTTGTAAGAAGAAAGTTATACTGTTTGGCAATTAAAGTAAAGACAATTACAAGTTTTTATTCGTATTCTCTTCTTGTCTTCAAACTTGCACACGATCGAACCATTTGCGCCTTCCAGTTGCCCGCCAATGGTGACCAAGGTCAATGAACTAACGTTCAATGTTCATATTCCTTGACAAAGCGTATCTACGATATTTATGTAATAAAAATAAGTCATATAGGGTATATATCTCCAATATGCTGCAAAACTGGTCCCAGATTCTCATAGAAGTGGTTATAGACATATCAAACTAATGTATTCTCTATTTCTCCAGCTGTAGCAGATACGGGTTGCATATACTAAATATATTACTAAGGGAGAGCTTTGATTTCGGGAAGAAAGTGTCTAAAAAATCACCGATTATGTACGACTTACCAACTTATACAGACTTCCTCATGTAATTAAGTGGTTACATCTGAATGGTTATATATAACCATCAATAGCTCGGCAATACTTTTGCACAGTCATTATCCCTCCACATATGCATGTTTTATTCCTCTCTATCAACACATTTTCCACAGAGAAGTCAAAAACCGAATCTAGGAGACATTTTCAACGAGGATTATGACTAGCAACCACTTGTAATGCTGAGCAATCTGATTGGTCAAATCAAGGTCATTTGACTTTGGTGTCTATTGTTTACTCTTGCCAACAGCTCAAATTATTATTATTATTGTTTCCTTTAATTCCTAGAGGAACATAGGGCTTCAGCCGTGCGTCTCCATTGCCTTCGGTTCTCTGCTAGAGTCTTCACCTGGCTCCAAGTATGCCTACACGTTTTCATCTCCTCTTCGCATGACCTCCTCCAAGTCACCCTCGCACTGACGACCAACTCGCCGCTTCCCTTTCGGGTTCCACTCGAGCAATGGCTTGTCTAGTGATGTCACTCACTTGATGGTTTCCTCAGAGTATGGCCACCAATCCATCTCCATTTCTTCCTGCCTATTTGTTTCACAATCGGTTCCTGCTGTGTTGGTTCGCTCATTGCCAGAGATCTCTGTTGCTGATCTTTTCTGAACAGCCATCTGATCTTGAGTGGTATTGAGCGAAGACAACTGTTAATGAAGGTCTGTAGTTTGTTTGAGATGCTCTTTATGACGCGCTGGCCAAGTCTCTGATCCGTATAGTAGCACTGACTGACTTCACATTGGAGTTGAAAATCCCGATCTTATTTTCATGCTGAGTGCTGTTGACCTCCACACAGGCTTGAGAGTAGTGAAAGCTTGTCTTGCTTTTCCGATTCTTGCTTTGATATCCTCGTCAGTTCCGTCTGCCTGTAGTTGAAACGATGCTTCCAAGGTAGGTAAAAGTGGTTGTTTTTTTCAGGTTCCTTCCATTTTTTGCTGATCGTTGTCGTATCTTCACCAGATGCTTCTTCTTCCAACTTGCTGCTTTTCGCTTGCATATCGTTTAGGGATGGACTCATCCATCAGCGTGTGATGTACCAGGTTCAACTGAGTTCAAAGATCTGAGTCAATCTTCATACTACCCAAAACACTTTGACACCAAATGTCTATAATATACCACATTGCTTTAATTGCATGCAAGTAATTGATTTATAGTGTTCTTAGTGAACAAACAGCTCAAAAAGAACTCTAATATTAGTAACTAGTATTTCCTTTTCCATTATTGTTTTTACTCTTGTATTTACCCCTCCTCCTTATTCCTTTGTTTTTATCAAGTTTGGTTGTGGTGATGCTGAAGGGAATTTCGGTCTATGGAATTTATATTCAACTATGCCAGGGAAATTGCCATACTTTGTAAGTTTTAATGTATTTGTGCTTGTGTGTGTGTGAGTGATTCAATCAGTTTTGTGCTATGAATTGAATGGTTTAATTTCTCTGTGTGTGTAGTTTAATGCCAATGAGATTACTGTGAAACGGAGAGTTAATTCTCACTGCATAAATCATCCACACTCTGTTAATTATCATAGAGATTACAAAAAACACATCCTGAATTTCATTTATTGGTGTGATGAAACCAATAAGATTTGGTCTTTGTGGATGATTTATGCCTGATGTCACATAAAATTGAAGACCAACAGACGAATACCGAAAAACTGTCTCATCGTTTTTTGTGGTCGCAGAGTGAAGTGAAGATGACTCACTAGCCTGAAGAATAGTGCTAACTGCAGTAGAGAAGCAAGATGATGAAGTTGATGTGAGTAAGGGAGAGTGATGCTCAGGTAGGCTTCGTGTGCTTTTGGAAGTGTGTGGGCGGTTGTTACTTCCCGGCTGCCCACACCATGGAAGTTGGTCAAGTCTTCGGGTACCTGAAATAGAGAAAAGGTTAGTGTTGCGTGACCACAGAGCCCAGGGGACAGCTGCTTGAGGCCGGTCACACACGGCCTTTTTTCGTTTGTTGTTTTTCATTTGGTGTGTCTCAGTAGCATATTTATCACTTCTGCCCTGTGACACGGCAGCAGGAAGCGCGGTCGTTGTTAATCCGGGTCCCGACCGATCCGGCGTGATATTTTGTGAATTTGTTTGAATCATAATATTGGATTGGGTAGCTGCTTTTTGTCTAACCGCTATCCAAACAACCTTTCTGGCATGGTAGGACCTACAGGAACTTAAGTTCCAGCCAGTGTAGCTCGTTGGGTCATTGTGGTGTTCAAGCCCGACTACCACGTCAAGGTAGAAGCTATCAGTCGGGACAAACTGCCAGAGGCGGCAGAGAAAACAGGACTTCAAGTGAACATAGAGAAGACGGAGGTGATGAAGATAACCGACCAACCAACCGACAACAACAACAACAAGCACCAATCACTATCAACGGGAGAAAATTGAAAGTAATTAAATAATTCCCATTGTAGCATTAAGAACACAATATTCAGCGAAGAGACTCTTTTCAACGAATTTATTATCGTATATATATGGTTTATTTTTATAAGAAATTATATCCGGTGAGGGAATTAGTTCAAAGGTGTGAACATATGAAATAACAATAATAGTAGTATGAAACGCAATTAAAATATTTGTGATTATAATCACAGTTTAATGCCAAGTGGCAAAATAATTAATGTCATATGTAGAATAATACATAAGGTGTATAGATTTTGGAAAGGGGTACATAATTATTGGATTAGTAGACGAATATAAAATGTTACATAACATGGTGTGAAATTAGATAAGATAGAATTCAATATTGTAAAAATATAAAAGTTAATAATTTTGGGTTTAGAATGACAAGTGGAAAAGATTCAGAGTGAGAATAGTAATAATAATAATAATGGTAGTATTAGGGGTAAGGTACATATAATAACTAAATAAACAAAATAAATAAATGTCTATCCCTATATGGCCAAGGCAGAAGTAGGGATTGTACATACTTCTTTTGTACACAAGGGTCTCGCTTAAAGTTATGAAGTCAGTAAGGAAAAAAATGCGGGAAGTTAGCATGGATTCTGTATATGATCTAAAAATCATGGTCAGGGTTGACACAGTGACATAAGTCGATCAGGTGTTCCAGAAGAGAGCTTCGCACACACTTCCCTTCTCCCTTGTAAAACCATGCAGCTGGAATATGTTCTCATATCCGTGTGGGGAAAGTGTCCTCTGACTACGGCCAATGTACCTTGCTCCACAAGAGCTGGTGAACGTCATATGTAATTTTGCTGCAAAGAATGTCTTACTGACTGATTTAGAGAGACGATTTTTGAGCATATCTGAAGCTTGATCACCTTTGAATTCCAAGTTCATGAATAAAGTTTTCTTTGGAACTGAGTCGGTGACCAGTTTAGACTGCTTATCTTTCATGTTGCTGTCGATAAATTTTCTTATCTGCGCAGCATCTTCTCAACTACTGGCGGCACAGATGAACATTTCAAAACCAGATGTGATCGGAAAAGCAAGACACGTGTCGATTGTTTTTTGAAATCAGAAACGAGATAAGGATCTTCAGTATTAATGTCAAAATCAGTGCCTCTATATAATTCAGAGAAATGGTGTGGGCGTTACCAAAAGCATTTCAAACAGGCTACTGGAGACTCTCATTAACTGCTGTCTTCGCAGGCTCTCCACACTCGCCAGAAAGAATTAGCAACAACAAGCTGTGAGAACAAACCAACAAGCAAGAACCAATTATTCAACAAATATCCTGAAGAAAATGGAGATGGGTTGGATACACACTGAGGAGACCTTCGGATGGTGTCATCGCTTGAGTAGAACCCGAAAGGCAGTCGAGCGACGCGTTGGGTGTGGTTCCGATGTGACATGGAGGAGAATGTTTGAGAAGGGAATGAAAGCATGTGAGTAATCGTGGGGTTGGCTAAAGAGGACTTCAGAGAACAGGACAAAAGTGGAGAAGTTCTGTTGAAGCCTTTTGTTCCACTCGAAATCCAGCGGGTCTGACGAATACGTCTTTGTAACAACTCAATGATGATCGCGGTTTCAGAAAAAGTACTAACTCTTAATGGAATTCAAAAAACCGACACACCTCGTTCTAATTAAAAAAGCCCATTGAAATATTTTCAAAAGAATGGATACTGAACAAAGAGTACTCTTTTCGATAACTTCCTCATTGTCAGGCTCTACAGTTATATATATACATTATAGTGAATGAATGAATTAGTGTTATGAACCACATTAATGTTTAAATAACCGCGAGCCAATAATATCAATAGATTACAGTTCAATAGCATCAACATAACAATAAACTGAATGTCAAAAAAATTAGGAAAGATAATAGTACAAATTCATGAGTTTATAGTCTCTACTGAGGGTCAGGGCAGTAGTATTGGCTGGACTTGTTTCTTCTGTACACAGAGAACTGGTTGTTTGAGGCGAATTGCATTAGCCTCTGCTGTTTGGAGCATGCAGTGCTTCGATGTTTTTGACAATTTATTTGGCACCTGGTAGATAATAGAGAAGGATTCTTCAATGCTGGTTGACTTTGTCGCCTGTTTGAACCAGATGGTCTAATATCGAACTGTTGATGGTTTTTACTACACCTTTACTTAAGCATACTGGGAGATGTTCTTGAGTGAGCACGAAAAATCAAGTTCCTAGAGCAACGGCCGATCTGTCAATTCCTCGCAAACAGTTCAATTTCATCATAATAAATACTTAAGTTGTGCAGAATGTACTGATGCTGATGTCTAGTGTGACAGTGAAACGTTCGCCTGTGGAAAAAAGCACCACAAGTAACAGAACACAATGTTCACAGTACTAAGTTCTTTAGATATACTTATTATTGATTTTCCCTTTGTTTATCCTTTGTCTCTTCTTTCTGTTTTCCTGCTTTCAGCGTTGTCGTTGCCATGCCAAAGGCTTAGCTGATTTCTGTTTCTTAGGCTGTAGCAGTCTGATAGCTACAGTCGGTAATGGTGGCATATCTACGGCGTCATTTACAAGTAGTGGACTTGTTGAAAGCACTGGTTCCACTGGCATTGGCAGTGGTGGGGGTGGTGCTGGAGGTATAGCACATTTCTCTTCTTCTTCTGGAAGTGGTAGCAGTTATTCTTCTTCTACCGGGAATATCAGTTTAGATCAAGATGCTTCTCATTTGACTTTATGGGATACATTGTTACCCGTCAATCGATGTGGTGTTATTCGTAAGTACCTATATTTATATGTACAGAATTATTTTTAACAGTAATCTAAGGATACTTACTGGGTTCCACCATTACTAGGTTCCCCATTTCTATTCAACTTCATCATAGACGTACTAATGAACTTAACCCTAACTCACTTCAGAGACTCAGGGATTGACCTGTTACCACCAGGGAATAATCTCGTTGACTTAGAATATGCAGACGATATAGTCCTTATAGGCGAGGACGCTGACAAAATAGAGCAGAGTCTTCTGAACACCTTGAGCAACAATCTTCGTATGTTTGGCATGCGATTCGCCCCTGTAAAATGTAAGATGATGTTGCAGGATTGGACTACACCGACCCCTAGATTAGAAATAGGAAATGAAGTGGTAGAGCACGTTGACCGCTTCACTAATTAGGGAAGTTGCATCAACCAACGCCAACGGTTTGATCTCTGACGAAATCTCAGTGCGGATACAGAGGGCTAGGTTCGCATATGCCAGTTTACGCCGTCTCTGGCGTAGACGTGATATCCGACTATCGGCCAGAGGGCGTGTGCACTGCTCATCAGTCCGCTCTATCCTCCTTTATGGCTGTGAAACCCGGCCATTGAGAGTAGAAGACATGAGAAGACTGGCTAGCTGTCTTTGATCACAGGTGTCTGCGTTCTATCTCCCGTGTGAAGTGGTATAATAAGGTGAGCAATATTGAGGTTAGGCATCGATCAAGCGCTAGGTAGGTGGGAGGGGAAATCAATCGACGAGACTGTGAAATTACATCGACTGAGATGGTTAGGACTTGTCTTATGTATGCCTAGCCACCGCCTTCCTCGACGGGCAATGTCAGCTGACATACGGTCAGGTTGGAAAAGCGCTAGTGGCGGTTAAACCAAAACATGGCACCAGTCAATAAAATCTACAACAGTTAGTCTAAGCCACGTAGGAAGGTGTAGACTTCCTAACTGGTTGGGGTCCTCGGGACGGTAAAATCCAATGGTGACTGGAAACAATCGGTGACATGGCTCAATATCGTTCTCAGTGGCGCACATGCATCCACTCCTTGTGACTCATGATTTCCAATGAAACTGTTTTGTTCTTCGTTATTACTATTCCTTTGTCTCACACCTCTGTTTACTGTCTCAAATATGCATTTCTTCTACTGTCTTCTCTTGCTTTGTGTGCTACATGGAGGGAGTGTGGCGACTTGAACTGCCGCACATATGTGCAAAGTTCTATGTCGAAAACCGACCGATTGAACACATGTCACAGCATCTCAACTGACTACTCTTCATTAAGAGTTATTTACAAAGTGAACTAAAATATATATACCAAAGACAGTCAGTGTGTTTCTGTCTTCTTCGTATTACTGCAGAAGCCCTTGCAATATGCACTGAAAAGCCGGAACTATGTGTGTTTAAAAGAAACTAGTCCAAACTCTACATTTACCATGGATCTAGCTCTGTTTGACTCCATCGTTTTCGAGTTGTTGTTTTTTTTTTTTGCATTTCAGTTATAAAAAGCTTTTATTCCAATTTGTTTCCATGCTTATCCCGTTCACATCTGTATTGTGTTGTTCTAATCCTACGGAGGGTTGTCATCTGAAGTGGTGACAACTAGTGGTGTCCGTCAGGGATGCCCACTCACTACCCCATTTCTGCTTAATTTCATCATAGATGTACTGATGGACTTAACCCTAACTGACTTCAACGTATGACGGATTGACTTGTTACCACCAGGGTATAATTTCGTTGACTTAGAATGTGTGGATGATATAGTCCTTCTAGGTGATGAAGACTGACAAAATGAAGGGTCTCCTGAACACCTTGAGGAGCAGCAATCTTTGAATATTTGGTATGCTATTCGCTCCCATCAAATGCTGCAGGACTGGACTACACTGACTTCTAGCTTAAAGATGGACAGGAGTGAAGTGGTAGAGCGTGTTGACCACTTCACTTATTTGGGGAGTTGCATCAGCCAACGTCAGCGGGTTCATCGCTGACGACATCTCAGCACGCATACAGAAAGCTTGTCTAGCATTTACCTACCAGCTTACGTCATCTCTGGGTTAACAGACGTGATATCCGGCTGGTTGTCGACCAAAGGGGGTGTGTACTGCTCATCACCATGAGACAGGGCCATTGAGAGTGGAAGATACGAAAAGACTAGCTATCTTTGGTCATAGGTGTCTGCATTCTATCTCTCAAGTGTGTTAAGTGGTATAATAAGGTGCACAATATTGGGGTTAAGCGTCGATTGTTAGATAGGGAGGAAAATTCAATCAACGAGTTTGTAGTCTATTGATTGAGGTGGTTAGAATATGTGTTATACATGCACGGCTATCACCTCCCTCGACGATGGTCAATATTAACTGACATAGGATGGATCAGGTGGAAAGAGAGCTATTACTAATCAAACCAAACCATGGCTTCATCAGTCGATGAAATCCACAACAGTTAGTTTAAGCCAGCCAGACACGTAGGAGTGTGTGGACTGTTTCTGTGGTTGTGATCCTCACGATGGTAAGAACCAATGAAGGCTGGAGACAATTGGTGATATGTCTCAAAATCGTTCTCAATGGCTGGCGCAGATGTATTCGGTCCTTGGGATTTGTCATATCCAATCAAAGTACTCTATTGTTGTTCTTCCATATAACTATTCTTTTCCCCTCACACTTGTGTTTATTATCTCTCTCTCTCTCTTGAATCTCTCTTTACTCTCTTCTCTTGCTTTGTGTGTGCTACATGGAGGGAGTATGGCAACTGGAACTACTGCACATCCGTGCAAAGTTCTATGTTGACACAAGTCAGTCAGTCAATCCTGTGGAATTGTGTTACTAAGCCCCCTGTTAATCTATACTCACACCTTCAAACTTTCATCATGTCAACTTCAAAATTGTTATCACATTTAATCTCCTCCTTTGTTAGTATGTGGAATTAAATAATAATAATTGTATCTATATGAACTTATATGTATATAAATGCGATTGTACAGCTGCTTGTGAGGATGAAACCGCCGTAAAAATGGGTAGTCAACTTTTCTGAACTTCTTGTTCTTTTCTGATCACTTTTAATTAATCATTTTACTCTGAAGATTAGAAATAGGAAGTGAAGTGGTAGAGCACGTTGACCGCTTCACTTATTTGGGAAGTACTATCAGCCCCAACAGGTTGATCTCTGACGTAATCTCAGTACGGATACAGAGGGCTAGTTTCGCATATGCCAGTTTACGCCGTCTCTGGCGTAGACGTGATATCCGGCTGGCTGTCGACCAAAGGGCGTGTGTACTGCTCGGTAGTCCGCTCCGTCCTCCTTTATGGCTGTGAGACCTGGCCATTAAGAGCGGAAGACATGAAAAGGCTAGCTAGCTGTCTTTGATCATAGGTGTCTGCGTTCTATCTCCTGTGTGAAGTGGTATAATAAGGTGAACAATATTGAGGTTAGGCATCAGTCGAGTTCTAGGTAAGGCGGGGAAATCAATCGATGAGACTGTGAAATTACATCGACTGAGATGGTTAGGACATGTGTTACGTATGCCTAGTCATCGCCTTCCTCGACAATGGGCAATGTTAGCTGATATAGGGTCAAGCTGTAAAAGAGCTAGCAGTGGTCAAACCAAAACATGGCACCAGTCAATGAAATCCACAACAGTTAGTCTAAGCCACGTAGGAAGGTGTAGACTTCCTGGTTGGGGTCCTCAGGACGGTAAAAACCAATGGTTGGAGACAATTGGCGACATGGCTCAAAATCCTGGTTCTCAATGGCTGGTGCAGATGCATCCACTCCTTGTGAATTATGATTTCCAATGAAACTACATTGTTCTTCGTTATTACTATTCCTTTGTCTCACACCTCTGTTTACTGTCTCAATTATGCATTTCTCCTACTTTCTTCTCTTGCTTTGTGTGCTACATGGAGGGAGTGTGGCGACTTGAACTGCCGTACATCAGTGCAAAGTTCTATGTCGAAAACAGACAGACAGACATTCTACTCTGAACATATTGTTTAACTGTGAATTTGTGAGCACATTGGACTTCGAAACCATTGAGTCTCTCTCAAGTAGGGAACACACAGCCCTTCCCCCCTCTACCGAGATTTGGGCAATCAGGCTTGATGGGAATACAAGCCATGGTTGGAATAGTACCATTTTATATCTCCTTTAGAATAGAATTCATGCCTATACTCTTTCTGTTATACACATGTATTTATTGATTGATTGATTTATTCTAAAGGTGTTCTTGATCCTGAATTGGATGCCCCATGCACATCAATAGCCTATTGTGGTGCATTTTCACAAGTGAATCGATGGCCACACAGTACCAGTAGCCTTTATAATACTGCAGAAACTTCGACGTCTTCTTCTACAAAACGACTTTACACTGGTGACAGGACTGTAATTGTTGGCAACAAGAATGGTGATGTATGCATTGTTGATTTGAGGCGACCAAAAGTATTGCATAAATTCTCAGCGCATGAATCAGCTGTACGAACTCTGTGTATTGATCCTATGACAGATTGTCTAATGACTGGAGGAGCTGATGGAATTGTTAAAGTAATGTTTATTGGTTGTTTTTTTCTGTTTAAAGTATCGTTGTCTTTTCGTTTATTTTGTTTGTTCGGTTTTTTGAGCGAGTGAGCCAGCGAGCGAACCTTCAAGAATCGATAATGATGATTAACCTGGCATAAATTTAAATTTGACCACAGATTGATAGCAGTTGGAGAAGCTGTTTCGTCCTAATTCGAGACTCTTCAGAACAGTTACTAAGGATTGGGGAATATTGAGTCGGTCGACGAGCTCGCCTCGTATCCGCAAGGTCCTGAGTTCGAACTCCAGTGATGGGTGAATACTGATGATGTGTCCCAAACTAGGCTAACGAAATAGCCGTCCAGTACTACTTCCTTGGCGGTTTCCAATGCTTCTCTAACTGATATGAATCTATACGTGTTCAAACTTGAAAACAAACCAACTCTTATGAAAAAGAGAAGACGTTCAGTGAAGAGACTCTTTTCAGCGGCGAATTCATTCACATAGCTGTACAATCGCATTTATATACAATTATTCTTGTGTGTGGAGAAGGTGTGGAAAGAAGGCAAAGTACCCGAGGATTGGAAGAAAGGATACTTATTCAAACTACCAAAGAAAGGAGAATTAAGTCAATGCAAGAACTGGCGTGGAATTATGCTCCTGTCCATCCCAAGCAAAATACTAAGCCGCATCATCCTGGAAAGAATCAAACAAGCCTTGGATGAAAAACTTCGCCCTACGTGACAGGCTGGATTCAGGAGAAACAAGTCATGTATTGATCAAATCGCAACACTACGGATCATCATTGAACAGAGCTTGGAATGGCAGTCACCTCTCTATCTCAAATTCATTGACTTTGAAAAGGCCTTCGACAGCGTCGATCGAGAGGTGATTTGGAAACTACTTCGCTACTACGGGGTGCCACCGACAATTATACATCTCATCCAACAGCTGTACGACAATGCTGCATGCCACGTCATCCACAACGGGAAAATTTCGAAATCCTTCGAAGTGAGGACAGGAGTAAGACAAGCTGGCTGATATCGCCAATGATTTTCCTGATTCCACTAGATTGGATAATGCGACAAACAGCGGGCAATGAGGAAACATGCATAAAATGGACTTACACAAAACACTTGGAGAATCTGGACTTCGCCGATGATATATGTCTGATTTCCCACAGACTGGAAGATGTGCAAGCGAAAAGCAACAAGTTGGCAGAAGAAGCATCAAAGATAGGACTCCCTTCAGGTGAACATAGAGAAAACAGAGGTGATGAAGATTCCTGGACAAGAACAACAACAACAGACAAAGATCAGCATAAATGGGAGGAACCTGAAAGAAACAACCTCTTTTACCTGCCTACCTGGGAAGCATCGTCTCAACTACAGGCGGAACTGACGGTGATATCAAAGCGAGGATCGGGAAAGCAAGGTAAGCTTTCACTACTCTCAAGTCTGTGTGGAGGTCAACAACACTCAGCATCAAAAATAAGATCTCGATTTTCAACTCCAATGTGAAGTCAGTGCTGCTCACCATACGGATTAGAGACTTGCACTGCGCGTCATAAAGACCATCTCAAACAAACTACAGACCTTCATCAACAGCCAGTGGTCTTCGCTCAATACTCAAGAACAGATGACCAGAAAAGATCAGCAACAGAGATCTCTGGCAATGAGCGAACCAACACAGCAGGAACCGATTGTGAAACGAATAGGCAGGAAGAAATGGAGATGGATTGGCCATACTCTGAGGAAACCATCAAGTGAGTGACATCACTAGACAAGTCATTGCTCGAGTGGAACCCGAAAGGGAAGCGGCGAGTTGGTCGTCAGTGGGAGGGTGCCTCTGAGGAGGTCATGTGAAGAGGAGATGAAAGCATGTGGGTAGACTTGGAGCCAGGTGAAAACCCTAGCAGAGAACCGAACGCAATGGAGACGCACGGCTGAAGCCCTATGTTCCTCTAGGAATTAAAGGAAACAATAATAATAATTCTTGTGTGTGTGTGAGTACTTGAGGTTTGTCAAGTTTAGATAATTGATCAGGTAGGTAATACAAGAATGATCTAATGTAGAAACAAGGTTAATTAGACAGCAACTAAAGTAAGATTGAGTTAGTTAGTAAGTTAGATGACGTAATATAATTGACTAAAATGTTTCAATTTAGGTCAGGATATTAACAGAGGTAATTACAGGTATCGATTGAACAAACTTCTTCTGTATGCAGAGTTCACGACTGAGCAAGTGAATCGCCATTGCTTCTGCAGTTTGAAGAAGTTTGATTCGTACACCTTTAGGAAGACTACTTCATATTCTGTAGACGACTTTGAAGTTTGTTTGGGGGTGTCCGTCTCTTCATTAGTATTATTTTGTCTTTTCAGTTGTAATATTTTACATTTTCAACCTTCTTGTTCTCTTCACCCCCACCCAATTTAATTTCTGCACCTCACTACCACTGTTACTGACTTGATCAACGCTCAATCTCTAGTCATTTATGTTACGTCATCCAACTTATTTGCTCAATTTTAGTTCTAATTTAAATGGCATTATTATCTACCTCACTTCTACTTAGTCTCTACTTGGAATTACCTCTGTTACTATCCTGACTTAAGTTGAAACATTTTAGTCAATTATATTACGTCATCTAACTTACTAACTCAATCTTACTTTAGGTGCTCTCTGATTAACCTTGTTTCTACATTAGATCATTCTTGTATTATCTAATTAATTATCTAAACTTGACAAACCTCATGTACACACACACACAAAATGATTTATATATAAATGCGATTGTACAGCTATGTGAATGAATTCGCCGTCGAAAAGAGTCTCTTCGCTGAACGTCTTCTTTTTTCATTTGACTCAATGGGGATTTTTAAGCTACTCAAACCAACTCTTGTCAAAAACGTGTAAAGGTAATTGATGGTTGGAGGCAATCGGCAGGAAGCCTTGGACCTAGGTTTCGTGCTAGTTGGCACTCACCAGCAAGGCATATCTGCAACCTTCAAGGAACTCATGTCCCTTCTGAGATTCGAACCCGCGTCACTCAGTGCTGCGGTCAGAGACGTTACCACTGAGCTATTCAGGCTCGCGATTGACCTCCTGCAGGACACTAGTAACTGGTGTGACGTGTCTAGTCCTACATAGATAACTCCTTAGAATTTTAATCCTCTCCCACCCTATGGTGTGGTTGTGTGCTAATACATTTAGTGCAGTCGCTGAGCTTTTTCCTAAATTGCTTATCTTCTCGGAGTCAACTATTCTTACCTTAGCTAAATTCTTATGTTTCGATAATCTGACTACCCCCACCCGATTTACTAGTTTGACCTATGTAGTTGACCTCACTCACAGTCATTGCAAGGTATTTCGTAAATGATATTATTTTGTTTAATTTGGTCTACCGGGTCTTTTAGAAAAGAAAATTTTCTTCGCTGTTTACGCCTTTTTCTTATCATCACAAGTAAAACTTTCTTTTCGCTTTCTTCTTTTCCTTTTCTTCTCTCTCTAGATATGGAGATTATCTGAGCAAGAATTGATTACCAGTTTCTGTGGTGATCTAAATCCCACACGGGGTGCTGCAGTTGTCGCTGCTGCTGCTTTATTCCGTGGTAATCAGTCAGCAGCGATTATTGCTGCAACAAATCCAGGCATATCAGATATACGTTTGCTGCCGACAGTGACAGGTGCATCATTATTACTACGTCGTCATCATTCATCAAACAACACAATGACTGCAACAACAACAACAACTACCAGCAGCAGTAACAATAATCCTTTCATAAAAGAATATGACCCATCTGTCGATCTAACTGGTTCAACTAGTCAGAGTCAAAAACACTCGATAACTGCTGCATCTATAGCCTGTCGATTCTTGAGCTGTGGTGCTGACGGTGGTCTACGTATGCGTTCATTGGTTGTTCGTCCAAAACCTTTTATGGTGCATTAAATCAATTGCCAATGCAGTGCAGCGCGTAGAAAACTAGATAGACAGACAGAAAGGCGGGATTTCAGTAGTATAGTGAGACAGACAGACAGATAGATAGACAGAAAGGAATAACACAAGCATAATATAATATCCATATAAATACTTTATCAATTTATTTATTTATTCATTTATCTATCTCAATTTCCCCTCAAATTTTAATAATGTGATAGGAAAATTTTTATCCGCGAACATTCCATATACTACTTAAATATACTACTTATATATACACCGCTATTACTTATTATTATGTTCGATATGCATTATGTGATTCTGACACACACACACACATACTTACACAATATATATCTATTCACATACGTATTCCACTTCCACTGTTGTATTTCTTTCGTATATTTTTCTCTTCATGTGCGTGTTTGTGTGTTCTAATGTTGATAATAAATTCATGATATCATTTGACGTATCTTCTTTATTCACCAATGTACCTCTCATGGAAACAGTGGACTTTATATGTGAAGAACTCAAAAGACGAAACATTGAGGTTGGCATTCCTATATCTTTCATGAAGGAGCTTCTCTTGAAATGTACAATGAATGTCCACTTTTTATTTAATAAGGAACTGTATAGACAAATCGACGGTGTGGCAATGGGGTCGCCACTAGGACCCATTCTAGCCGACATTTTCCTGGCGAAACTAGAAAATGGGCCTTTAAAAGATGTTATTAATGAACTCGAATTTTATTGTCGATACATGGATAATACTTTTTTGATTATGAAGAACGAAAAGGGAGCAAAGAACATCCTGGATAAATTTAATGAGGTACATCCTGCAATAAATTTTACTATTGAGAAAGAAAAAGACTCTAGTATTTCATTTCTAGACGTCCTTATGACCGGAAAAGAGGACGGCACAATAGGAAGAAGTGTTTATAGAAAACCTACATCAACTGACTGTCAGTATACTAATTTTTTCAGCTTTGTGCCCTTGAAATACAAACGCAATCTAATAAAGTGCTTAGTCCACAGAGCAAGAGAGATTTGCTCGGATGAATGTCTTGACGAGGAACTTAACAATATTAAACGGTTGCTAAGTGAGAATGGTTATCCTGAAAAGTTTATTGATAAGAATATGAATCTGAAACCAAAGCAGCCCAAGTTACCAACAGTTCCAAAAAAGGCCTTGTTCTTACAAATGCAGTTCCTAGGAGACAACACCAGTGAGATACTAACACAGCGCCTTAGAAATGCGGTAAAAAGAGCATTCCCTGCTGCTCAATTACGCTGTATCTTTAAAACTACTCCTCTTCTGCTTTCGGGAATAAAAGACAAACTGCCTAATTTCGCCTCTTCCATGTGTATATACCAATTTAACTGCTCCTGTGGAGCCAGTTACATAGGCCGTACAATTAGGCGTGTTTCTCGTCAAATTTTCGAACATCACCCTGCCTGGTTAAGCAAAGGTCAAACAAAATCTATCTGCAGCGCTATTCTGGCGCATCTTGTGGATACAGAACACAAGATTGATTTTAAGCAGGCTTTCAGGGTCATTTACCATATACCAACAAATTTCAGTTATGCCTTAAGATTTCGACTACTAAATACTGCTGAGGATGTGGGGATCCATATTAATAAGCCTAATTTATGCACCCAAAAGAAGTTAGTTCAGTCATTATCATTACCTTGGCCATCTAGTTTTGAATGATCCTGCATTTTTGTGGAATTTTCCTAATTTTAGTTGATATTCCATTTGCTATTATATCTTTATTATTATGATCATTTAAGCATCTTTAATGAACTGTAATAGCATTGATCATGTTTTACAAATCGATATTATTTAAAAAACACTAATATTGTTATTAACTACTAATTTAGAATATTCTATGTATATAAACATATATATAATTGTAGAGCCTGGAAGAGGAATTTATCGAAAAGAATATTCTTTGCTCGATTATTTTGTGTTTTATAGATGTCTGAATGAATATTTTTGTTCTAATTCTATCAAATCAACTTAATGAATATGCATATTTATTGATGAATATATTTCATCTTCTAATTAACTAACTAATTCCATAATGGATAAGATTTTATTTTGATAAATCACACAGTGTAGTACAGTTATATTAACTGATGACGTTTCGAGCATAAACTATTGCTCATAATCATATCAACTTGATATGATTATGAGCAATAGTTTGTGCTCGAAACGTCATCAGTTAATATTACTGTATAACAACACTGTGTGATTTATCAAAATAAAATCTTATCCATTATGGAATTATACTCTACCACAGTGCCCAAGTTTTATACTTATATCAATAACTAACTAATCCCTGTCAGGCATGAATTTCATCTGCGGGGAGGAGAAGCATTCACTATCGTCTGTCGAGGGACAGGAACACGATTAAAGCAAGCAAATACGTGTGTGTGTGTTTTCGGCAAATTCTCCTCATCAAGCAGTACAGTTATCCGGTGTCACGGGGAGAGATAACTATTCTAGGTTGGTGTTGTGTAAACACAAAAGATTGGGTTGAAGGATTTTTATGACAACTGCCCCAGCCCTATGCTTAGCGGTTGAAGGTAGATAAAGTTAAAGAACTGACGTGGCACCTTGCATAGAGTTGTAAAGGGGAAATTCTTTATCAATCTTGTGATTCATATTCACAAGGTGTGACGCTTCCTCTACCTAACCTGCCCAAGAAGGTGATGACGGGCTTTCCGAGTCTTGTTCTAGATATGTAACAACTGTCTCTACATCAACAGTTAGGTTTATAAATGCACACTGAAGTGACTAAACTCGGTAGCTTATCCTTCACCTGAACGTTGGAATTGTACAACGAGTGATGAATTTTAAACTCAGTGTCGCGGTTTCGATGCTAGTAACTCCGTGGCTACATCTCATCTGAACGATAAAGTCATATATGTTTACACACGCGTTTCTTCTGCACAGTTTGAAGGCATTTCTCTCTATCATTTGCCATCATAGAAACTTTAACAGATTGTTTCCCGATATCCGTTCTCATATAATACATTTTCTGTTCTCTAGACTACTAAAACCGTTTGATGAAATAGATGTGGCACACATACCAACACAATAACTTCATTCGATATTGTGCAGAACGAAGGATCCATCCAACAGAAAAAGATTTATATCACTTACAAACTAAATTACATGAACTGCGCGATAAACATTACATCAGTCAAAGTGGGCGTCCCCTTCGACTCAGAATCCAGGAATATAAATTGGCCGTCAAAATGCACGGTGTTTAGTCTTTCATATCAATACATGTAGGCAATCAGGGACACAGATTTCATTTCGTGCGTCGGTGGCACAGCGGTTAGCACGCTCGCCGACCATGCACATGGTCCGGGGCTCGATCCCCGGCCGGCGCACTCCTTTATCTCGCTAAGCCAGTAATAAGACTGATAAAGAGTGGAGGTTAGGCATGAGGCTAGCAACCTCACCCTGTAAAAATAAACACTGCTACAGAAACTTCAAGCCTCTAGCTTGAAGCCCTATGTTCCACTGGGAACGTGAAGGAAAAAAAATGTAGAACTCTTAAACTGAGGAAACACCAAAAATGTCACGGAATTTCTAGAAGCTTTGTTGGTACTCAAATGAATCAGAGATTAACAGACACACTGTGATAGTTGATTTGTAAGGATTAGGTTTGCAAGTAATAGTGTTCTCTGAGCTGGTTGGTTTAGTTGCGAAGCTTTCGTCGTCCTTCTGGACAACATCTTCAGCGCCATATTTAGCACAAAGGACGACGAAAGCTTCACAACTAAACCAACCAGCTCAGAGAACACTATTAATTGCAAATCATCCACCTGAGCTACAAATCTTCTCTATTATTTCAAAGGATTAGGTTTGTTTTTCAAGTTTGAACATGGATCAATATCAGTTAGAGAACCATTGAAAACCAACACTGGAGTACTGGACAGCTGTTTTATCCTAGTCTAGGAATCACCAGCAGTACGCATCCTTCAAAATTCGAACACAGGAGACTCAGGTTACAACTCAATTCACTGACCTGCCCATGAATTCTAACTTCTACCAATTCTTGACTTTAGCGCGACTGGTACCAGCTGCCAATGTCATCGGTGGGTATTTGTCCTCACTTTGGACCAAGTGGACCCCACTAACTGGTCACCGCTTCTCACTAGAACTCTAACTGTTATTAATCCATAGTCAAACTCGAAAAATATTACTATAGGTTAAATTTACCAGCTAATAAAAAATAAATCACATGACAAGAAAGCCGAAATTCCCAGTAACTAAAAATGATCAATAACGATGTAAATTAACAACCAGTCACGACAATGGTTGTTGTCAGGAGACAAAATTACATCATTCACTCATAGAGAATTCAAGTAAGTTCATTTCATTTATTAAAACTTGTCCTGAAGTGGTATTCTCTAGAAGAATCAACGAAAGCTCAGCAATTAAAACGACCAGCTAACTCAGAGAACACAACTAAATCAAACTCGTCTCATCCAATAGAGCTTTGGTTTCTTCGTTCAGGTAACCGACTTTAAGTTGTGCAGGTTACGAGTAACTAACTAGACAATACTAAATGTGTCAGGCACAATGGTTGTGATGCAACGGCTTAGTACTTGGGCGTTTACGTAGTGTTTTTACCGGCATTATTTATGCGCTAATGGTTAAGATGTGGTCATTAAATCCCGCGCTACAATACACTAAACCAACACTTGCTTGGAAAGTGACCAAATGTTCAATACAGGATGAAGTTCTAGTGGGAAATCGTGATCGATCAGCGGGGCCAACAAGTTGGGTGTGGCGATAAATACTCACTGGCTGGCAGTCGCGAGTTGACAGAAGCTAGGATAACAGGATTTCGTGATGAGCTGACATCCGTTAGGGAATTATTGGAAAACCATCAGAGAGTAGTAGATAGCTGTTTCATCCTAGTTTTGAGACTCTTCAGTAACGCGCACCAACCACGGTTAGAACTCATGACCTTCGGGTCACAAGCCGAGCTCGTAGACGATTAAGCTACTGGGACCCGATCCAATGGCCAGCCTATGAATTCCAACTTCTGTCAATTCACAGCACAGCGCGACTAGTAGCCAATGTCAACTGCGGAGAATATTTGTCCCCACACCCGATCTGCTGTGGGAAGCCGTCACCAGTAGGGCACAGCAGATTGATTGTGAGGACAAATACCCACAGCAGATGATATTGGCTACTTGTCGCGCCACACCATGAATTGGCAGAAGTTGGAATTCATGAGTTGACCGTTGGATCGGGTCCCAATGGCTAAATGATCTACCAGCTCACCTTGTAACCAGAAGGTCCTAGGTGTACACTGATGAAGAGTTCAAAATTAGGACGAAACGACTGTCCAGTATTCCTTGGTTATCAGTAGTTCTCTAACTGAAATCAGTTCTAGTTCAAATAATAATTAAAGCGATAGAACTACTCACATCAGCCATTCCTATGTTACCAACTCACTAATAATGTATTAAATGTGAGTTATGAGACTCAATAATTATTGAGCAGGTCTTGACGTGACCTCGAAATCCTGTTAAGCTGTATTTCTACATCTCACCACCTTCTTTCTCTACACAATGCTCCTATTCACTAAAACGTCAAAAACAAGATGTCATGTTGGTGCGTCTATGTGGGTCAGAGACTTGGCACAACACCAAAAACATCCCCAACAATTTACCGCGGTCAAACAACCAACAAATGGAGACGGATTGGACATACACTGAGGAGACCGTTGGAGATTGACATCAAACATCAGGCAAACCGTCGTCGGGTGGAACCGAAGTGGTAGAAAACGACTGACAAGTTTGGTATGGGGCCAAAGTTGACATGAAGATAAGAAATGACAGAGACTATGAGCGGTAATCATTGAGCCAACCAGCTGCTAAACTAGACTAGACTACAGAGAGAAGATGAAATGAAGATGGCGGGTACTGAGTGGAGAGACCTGCCTATCTATACTCCACTCCGGAACCCAATATATTACATCATCCACACACAAAAAGTCACAACAATTTATTCATAATGCAACAATAAGATTAATATATTTCCCCCCCCCACACACACACACACTTCGTTCTCATTAACAGATATCTACAATGAAGTTGTAACTACAAGAAGACGAAGAAAGCAACACGGTGGTACTACATATTTTTAGAAGAGAAGAGGTTATAAACGAACGATAGATATAACACCAGTATTAGTGGTAATAATAATGACTAATCAATACACACAAGTTTAGCCGACTTTCTGTACAAAAATGAATTGCTAACGTCCTAAATAGAGAACACTTTTTCACTTTTAATTAACACACAAGGGGAAAAATACGTGAATAATAAAAGTATAATAACAAAATTGTCAAAAATAGACGACTGGTTACTAGAATTGTTATTTGGTTCATTCATTCATTGTCAGAATGACAAGATGGAAAGCAGGAGAAGAAAATAATGGACAAGAATCGTACATTTCGACTTGAATAAGGCAGGCGGAAGGCAGTCTAGTTTTGGTGTTTTTTTTCTTTTGGTACTAACATCGAATCGCCGTGCCAACTGCCATAAACATACCGAAAGTGCCTCCGCCTTGGAACATACCTTTGCCAACTGTTTGCAGTAATTCACGTCCACGTAAACCGTATCTAGTAAAGAAAAAAAAGAAAAAAAGTATAAAACAGGGAAGATGATTATCGTTATAACGGGATGGAATTTCACTTATTTGGGAAGTTGCATCAGCCCCCCCCCCTCCAACTTACGCCATCTCTGGCTTTTTAGACGTAATATCCGGCCGGCTGTAGACTAAAGGGCGTTTATACTGTTCAGCAGCAGTCCACTCCATCCTCTTTTATGGCTTTGAATGAGACATGACCATTGAAAGTGGAAGACATGAAAAGGCCAGCCAGGCTAGCTGTCTTTGATCTTAGGTGTCTGCGACCCATCTCTCGTGTGTGTGTTAAGGTAGTATAATAGAGTGATCAATATTGAGATTAAGCATCAGTCGAGTGCTAGGTAGGTGGGAGGGGGAATCAGTCGACGAGGTTATGAAGTAATATCGATTGAGATGGTTAAGACACATGTGTTATGCATGTCTAAGCATCGGCCTTCCTCGACAACGAGCAATGTTAGCTGACATAGGATCGATGAGGTTGGAAAAGAGCTAGTACATGGTGGTCAAACTAAAACATGGCTTCATCAGTCAATGAAGTCCACGTAGGGAGATGTAGACTTATAGACTGGTTGGGGTCCTCGGGATGGTAAAAACCAATGAAGGCTGGAGACAACTGGCGATATAGCTGGATCAAAATCGTTTTCAATGGCTTGCGCAGTTGCATCCAATGAAATCCTATTGTTCTTCCATATTACTATTCCTTTTTCTTCACATCTCTGTTTATTATCTCTCTCTGTTTTGAATCTCTTTTTACTTTCTTCTCTTGCTTTGTGTGCTAAATGAAGTGTGGCGACTCGAACTCCTGCTGAACATCGGTGCAAAGTTCTACGTTGAAACCAGTCAGTTAGTCAGTTAGACGGAATGGAATGTCACTCAACAAACAGTCACTTGCAGTTGGTAATAAGCCACAACTCTTATGTATTGTGTGTGAGAGGGGCTAGAGATACAACTACTACTAATACTTATCTGGGACTGCCCAAACTATGGTCGGTAGTTGGAGCAGAGTTCGGTGACGAACCCATGACCCAATTACCTGGAAGTCAAGCAGCCAAACCAATGCTGCTGCTGGATTCAACATAGAACTTGTCACCGAAGTGCAGCAGTTCGAGTTGCCACGTTCCAAAGAGCACACAAAGGTAGACAAGAAAATGAGTGAAGAGAATCAATAGAATTTTGACAGGTATAAGAGTGAAACAGAATGAGTAATGGTAGAAAGGAATATGAAAGATTACAGAGACTGAATACATCTGCGTAAGCCATTGACAACGATTTTGAGCCATGTCACCTATTGTCTCCAGCCATTGATTCTTAGAGTCCCGAGGGCCCAAACCAATGTGTCACAGCTGCACACACACACAAACACAAACAAAAATGCAGTTGGGAATGTTACAACAACTGATTTCATGCTATGGGTTTAAGAAAAATACGGAATATAGTGGTTGTGACAGGGACTAGACGTATAACACCAGTTACTTACTTACTTATCACCTACCTACATTTAGTGTGTTTACAGTCAAAGTATGTAATACAATCCTAGACTACAGGTCAACGGCGAGGCCAAATAACTAGCTCGGGGGTAACGCATCTCTGACTCCATGCAACACTAGGACTGGGTGACACACGGATTCGAATCTCAGACAGAGGACATGAGTTCCTTTAAGGTAATTGCAGATACACGCGCCTTGCTGACTGACTCTGGTAAGTAGCCACAAGCACGAAACCTAGGTCATACAAGGCTTCCTGCCAACTGCCTCCACCCATCCAGTGGCTGTCTTCCTTAAACGATAAGGTCATATATTGGTTACAGGATTTCATCATGAGCTGACATCGGTTAGAGAACCACTAGAAAGCCTATCAGGGGGTACTGGATAGCTGTTTCGTCAGCCTTGCTCGGGGCTATTCATCTGCACGCGCTAACCACAGGGGTTCGAAACCCTGACCTTCTGGTTACAAGGCGATCTCGTAGAACACATTAAGCCACCGCATCCTTGTTCGACGAGCAATATTAACTTACATTGGGGTTAGATGGAGAAAAAGTCAGGGGTAGTCAAACCAAAACCATAAAGTCTCTGACAACTGGTTTGAGTCAGTCACGTAGGGAACTGCAGACAGCCAGACTGGTTGGAGTACTTAGGATGCTAAGACTCAATCGCTAGAGACAATAGGTAGTTTGACTTAAAATTGTTCTCAGTGGCACAGATGTATTCATTCTTTGTGATCACCCATATTCACTAAACCCTCAAGTCTTTCCATATAAATAATAGAATAAAGAACAGAAAGAAGACACGAAGCTCTCCTGACCACCCGCATCGGTGGAGTCAGATAATCGACAGTTTATTACAACACAATGATTAAAAAATACTGCTCAGTTGGAAATATACACACAGGCAAGAACATCCATAATCTTACCTTAAACAACTAAATCCACCGAATATAGCACCACTAGCTACACCAACACAAAATCCCATTAAAAATCCATATTTTACTCTGTCTAAACACGAAGGTTGCGACATTCCGCCATAGACGTTGGGAGCGACCGGCATTATTATTCAACTGGGAGTATAAAATTATTCTGGGCTACCTATAAAAGCAAAACACACAAATCCAAAATGCAAAGTTTACTACCTACAAAAAAAGTAAACTGATGTGTTATGTTATGCGAAACTTAAGACTACCGAAGTTACACATAGAGTAGACACAAGGAATGCGAAGCATGGTCGAAGCACACAGTATAGAGCACACCCTATTATGCCATTTAACACGGACAGACAGAACGTAGACAGCTGTGGTCAAATACAGGTCGTCTTTCTATGTCTTCCATTTTCAATGGCCAGGTCTCACTCATAGCCATAAAGGAGGATAGAGCGAGCTGGTGATGAGAAGTACACACGTCCTTTGGTCGATAGACAGCTGGATTTTACGTCTACGCCAGAGATAACGTAAGTTCGCATATGCGAAACAAGCCTTCTGTATTCGTGCTGAGACTTCGCTAGAAGTAATCTGTCCGTTGGGGATGATGGAAACTTGCCAAATAAGTGAAGTAGTCAACACGCTCCTGTCTATCTTTAAGTTAGGAGTTGATGTAGTCCAGTCCTGTGGTATCACCATCATTGTAACGGTAAATATAAGGATGACAATGACTTGCTCACGCTGCATCAGCCCCAGAGGGTTAATCACTGATGAAATCTCAGTCAAAGCATACAGAAGGCTCGTTTGGAACTTACCTACCAACTTACTCCATCTCTGATGTAGACGTGACTTCCGGCTGCCTATTGATCAAGCGACGTGTATACTGTTCAGCAGTTCGCTCTTTCTTTCTACATAGCCTTGAGATATAACTATTGAAAGTGGAATACATGAAAAGGCGAACTGTCTTTGACCATAGGTGTCTGAGTTCTGTCTCCCGTGTTAGGCGGCATCATAAGGTTAGTAATACTGAGGCTAGATGTAGAGAGTGTTAGTTAAGGAGAGAAAATCAATCGACGAGGTTGTGAGGTTGTCAACTTGAGGTTGTGTCAACTCTTGTATTCTGACCATCCCTCTTTACTGCTCCCCATTTATCTTTCCTGGACTACTTAAGAAAGACTTTGCTTTGCTGCGTAGGGCACTAAAAGCTGTTAGTAGGGCGAGTGGGATTTCGTTAAACCAACTGGTTAACACTATTGTGGATAGACATATAATGTCATATAAGAAACTAGCGAGTACTATATTGTCAGACCCCGAACACCCTCTCCATACGCAGCTCTCTCCTTGCATTTCATCTGGTAGAACTAAAAGCAACTATAGAAGGCTATATGCCAGGACTACCAATTACAAAAACTCCACAAAACCTTATCTGGCACAGCTGTTATGTGATAAGAAAACTGTTAGGTATGACACGATCAACTTACTGCGCACTGCACTCTAACAAATAGTTCCCATTAGCTTTTGTTCTCCTTTCTTTGTTACGATTATATTGTTGCTCACATATTTTATTACACACTAATTTTATATTTCATATCCTGTGGTGCATTGTTTAAATATGTGAATGCAATGCTGTTCTTTTTTATTTCTTTTATTTCTCCTTTTTTCTTTTTGTTGTTGTTGCTTTTTCTTTTTAAAATCTTATAAAAATTTATGAGGTAATTAGATGCAATATTGTAATGCACGCTGAAAATTCCATACCTGTACCACAAATACTGTTTGGAATAAAGCTATTATTATTAAGTTATCCAGACTGAGATGGTCAGAATGTGTTACGCATGCATTGCCGTCGCCTTCCTAGACAGGTAATGTTAGCTGACATAGGATCGATGAGGTTGGAAGAGCTAGTACATGGTGGTCAAACCAACACATGGATTCATAAGTCAGTCAAATCCATAGTATTTCGTTTCAGCCACGTAGGAAGGTGTAGACTTATAGATTGGTTCGGGTCCTTGGGACAGTAAACACCAATGGCTGGCGACATTAATCGGTGATATGGCTCAAAATCGTTCTCAATGGCTGGCGGAGATACATTCCCTCTTTGAGGCTTCCCTAATCCAATAAGACTCCGTTGTTCTTCCATTTTACTATTCTTTTTCCCCCACTAATACTTCTGTTTATTACCTCTCTCTCTTTTGAACCCCTCTTTACTCTCTTCTCTTGCTTTGTGCGTTACATTGAGGGTGGCAACTGGAACTGCCGCACATCTGTGCAAAGTTCTATTTTGAAATCAGTCACTCAGAACTTTCTGACGTGTCATAAGTTACCGTTATCTGGATTACACAAAAACGTGTTACGAGAGCAAACTCCAAGCAGTCTACACTTGCTTAAGGCATATTATACACGACGACTATCACTATATGGGACACGAATATCTCACATCCAAGTATTAAGAAGTGATTACGAGCCATGACTTAAGGATGCTTCAGAACTACAAATCATATTTAGCAAAATGTCTCCAATTACTCCGATCCGTGATGGATACTACTCATATTGTACACAGTATTAAAGTAGTCACTTTCCCTTTGAATACGCTGATGTATCACATTAGAAAGAAAATCAGTTTTTCTACAATAAGCATCTATAGCAACCGAAATGACTTTGATCATTTAGTCGCAAAATGCGCAACTCACTGTAGAACTTCACACTAACAATAACTTCCGACCTGATGTGGCTTTTCTTCCTTCAAGACTGGTTCTCTGCACAAATACCTTACAAAAGTTCAGAATACAGTTGTACGAAATCAGCGTTACCTTTTCCCACAGTGATGGTAAACAATGAGAGACCACTAGAAGAACTACGAAGAATAACACTCCCATTAGTGTTCAGACTCATTTGGATCTAGGTGCCATCATAAACCACGACTTTAAAACTACAGCATACTATCGCGCAATATCAGCTCAAAGTTTCAAATCTTCATGCGCAACACGCAGAGCATTTACTAGAATCACCAGAGATGTGATCACTACTTTATATACACCTCTAGTGGGGTCAAGACTGCAGAACTATATCCAGGCAGTCAGTCCTTATCCTGAGGGAGACTCGTACATTCCGGAAAGAGTTGAAAGGAAAACGACACACGATTCTTCGCGTAACCAATTTATCATACATTGAAAGACAGGATAGTTGGAATCTCTTCTCCCTGTCAGACCATACGTAGAGAAGAGATCTCGCTACAATGTTTAAAATTTTAAATAATGACTATGAACCTGATCTAGTTCCTGTTTTTCTTCCCATCAGGTGGTCAGAAAACTTCAACAGACATAGCAGGAGAATTTAAAAACCAAGGAAAAACCCCCATATTGTGTGGAGTATTGGTCTTCACACCGAGTTATCAACTCTTGAGACCAACTCCCTGAATTAACTCATTCAAGATGAATTTGAATAAACACAGAAGTTAACTAGAAAACGATTAACATAGACTTCAAGCTTTCTATTCTCAATGAATAAGTCTGAAATCTGAATCAGGGAACACAATATCTTGGAGCCTTCTGACTAGCATTCTATGCACTGGAGTTGGAGAAAACGAGTATTGAGGACAACGGTGGTGAGGAATATTTTACAGTTTGTTCATAAATCATACGAATGGAAGTTAAGTTTGACTGAATTCTGTCAAGTCAAATTATCCGTGAGCGATTTCTGCTTTCATTGTAGTTTTCAGGTACTGTTAACAGTTTCCACTAGCAGGATATTGCTGACAAACGCATCCATCAGACTCTGGTTCAACAAAAATCATGACAGGCTAAAGGAGGGAAGAATTAAGAGACAACGACTGCATCCGTTGTGATGCTAACCGTTATCACTTCTATTGCTTTCATACCATCATGGATCTCAACAAGGGGAAAACTGAATAGCAAGACGGAACAAGATTACCAGCTTCATGTGATTTCGGTATGTCTTGTGCGAACTCTGTAGATATATTTGATATAAATTGTAAATATTTTTTTAAAAACATTGGTTTCTGATCTGATAAGTCCTTGAGTTGACAGAAGGATGTTGTTTGTAATGTGACAAGCTGTGGACACATTAGGTATGTCATACGTATGGCTGCCGACTTAGGGTCCACTGTGGACACTTCAGGACAGATTTAGGGCACACTGTGGACAACCGTCCCGCCTGCTTTGATGCCCCCCAAAGTTCTATTGCCCGAAATCCCTGCAGTGGGCCAAAAGAAAGAGCTAACTGGGTTGTTCTTCCTTCTGTGACCAAACTTAAACTGTCGAGAATAATAAGACCCCTTTCCACATATATATCCGTAGATATATATGTGGAAAGGGGTCTCGACCATGAAAACCTTTGTGAGGAGTGCACATGCTTTTGATGGCAGAATTTCTGTTGTTTTGAGGGAGAATCAGCACACAGATAACTATCAATCGCAACTCATGAACTACTCACTAAATCAAAGATTGATTACCCTTTGGTCTGTCTGGAAACCCCCAACAAATCCAGTCATTACATAGCGCTCTAAGATCATTTTCTTTATCTTTAGGCAGAAACCTGTCTGATAGCCTATAATCTATCGATTAAAAGTGGACCTACAGGTATATTAAATAATTTACGTTGATAACAACCAAAGAAATACTCAATAAATACCTTTAACCGCTAAAATACTTACACTCACGAGACACCGGCCAGATGACCTCGGTAAGTCAAACTACCTCCAATATCCAATATCCAATATCCTGATTACGAGCTAGTATAAACCAGTGATTTCTTTGAGCTCGCTTCTTGATTTTAAGGTAGAGGTTCCAGATCTTCGGTGAACTTATGCGTAGTAAATCCCGCCACTCGACTGCTTTAGCTCGAAAGACGCTATAGTCAGTTTCAAGGTCGTGATGGGTTCCTGCGTCTACTGGTTATATGTTTTCGTGAATTCGTTTTCCATTGAATTTTAAAGGTTTTTTTGAAGGTTTTGCTTGTTTTGGAGTATGTAGGTCAGTTTTTTGTCACTGGATGCTACTAAGACGTTTATTTTTAGCTTGCAGTTCCCAGTTTTTATGTTGGTAGTTAAGGATTATGGTAAATCTGCAATCATTGAGCCAATTCACGTATACTATGCTAATATAGTAACTTTTCTCAGTAATTAAACGCCTTAACTGTTCTGCCATTGTTGGATCAAACAGTGGCAGAACAGTTACGGATTATTTGCTGAAGGTAGAACTGTGCGCTGGTTTATCATCATGACTGGCACCAATTCAGCACCTTGTTCTTATTCTACGCATTATCAGAAGTAGCTTATCAGCCTTATAGCAGCCCTTCTAGTCCAGGTTCTGCTCCTCCCAAGCTTACCATAATGCTGAATTAAATCTGACTAATTCCAACGTTCTACAGTCAGTAAATTCTGGATCTTTTCTTAAATAGACTCTTTAATGTCACAGTCTAGAACTCAGTTTTGGTCTTCAGCATGACTGACACTAATTCAACACCATGTTCTTTTTGTAGACATTTTCAGGAGTAGATGACCACCTACTGGTTTTGCTTATCGGCTTTATTTAAACCCTTTGAGCTCATCTTCAGTACGGACTATCTTAACTTCAGAAGAAAAAGACTTAATTTAGCACATAGTGGCAATTTTTTTGAGCTTAAATTTGGAAATTATATTTGGAAGCTGTAGTACAATGTCACTGCAAATCTGTCAAGTTAGGTCCACTGGTAGCACCCTGTAAATAAGCAAAATAAAATATCAGTTGATGAAACATTGTGCTCATCACATTCTCAGCATTTACATTTAGAAAAGTTCGCTTACATAACTGCCACTGTTATATCCCCTGCTATCTTGGTATTTTAAGCGTCCCAAGCTTACTAAACTATACCTCCAAAAGTGCATTCATACCTCACAAACTTATATTCCATAGGGCCAGATGGATCTTTTTTACCTGAATCAAGCCGCTAGGATGTGTTGGATTCCTTTCAAAGAAATAATGAACAATTTAGTTGTTACCTTCATAAATGTATCAAAAGCTTGCTTAAGTTGCACCCACGTATAAAATACACAACTAAGCATTATTCTTTGGAATACAGACATTACATCAGACAATATAGATGACACATTCCGTGAAGTAGACGCAGTAGGAGTACTTTGCAACATCATTTAATGGTTCTAACAATTCCTAACGTGCACAACACAATGATTTCAAGTAAATCAACAGTTGTATGCATTTCATTGCTTATATACCACTTTTTTGACAGGAAATTTACTTTATTTATGTTGACCTAGTATGTGCAATTCCCACAGGTCACTAAACTGAAAACTTAAAAAAGTAGATCACTTAATACATACATATATCTACATGTCCAAAATTAGACACATTATACGTTTAGCAATTTTTATTGAATTCTATTCCCATAGTAACAAAAAATGCATACATCCTATTTTGGACTTAAAATAAATGCATCAAAATTATCGTTAACTTATATTCACTTACTAGACATTCCCATATATCTCAATGCACTTTAAATACTACAAATGCATCTAAATAGCGTGTGACTATCACACTACACTCACACCAAAAAAATTAACACGCCGTTATATTATGGTAAGTTAAGACTGACTTTAAACTGACTGTAACTTTCCGTGTCAAAATAAAGAGACTGCCATTTTTACTTATATTTTAGACCAATAAGAAGCCAGCTAGCCAACAGCCAATCAAAATCTGCCTATATCGCTTTTCCTTTAGCTCTGGTAGACTCCAGGAGGAGTGATGCGAGGATTGGTCAAGATTGTGGTTTGTAGTGTGCAGTATGTTAGGACTCAGCTGCTGCCGTGAATGGAGTTTGACCTAACACCCGTCGGTCATTCGGTATAGTCATAAAAGTAGAGTAATAATAATAATAATGATAATGATAATAATAGGTTGTAGTGTAGATAATATAGGTTGAGATAAGTGAAATAATAAAGAAAGAAAGATAGAGTAGTCGGTACAGTGGGAGAAGACAGGACGGGTCGTAGGGATTTAGCTTGTATGCTTATCCATTGACAATGTGGTTTCAAATTTTAAGAGGGTAAGCCATTGAGACACAAACCATGCATTTCTGCATGATTGTCCAGCTTCCGCTTAAAAATCTCCACAGATGGAGCTGTAGTTACGGCCGCCGGTAAAGCGTTCCAGAGACGGCAAACTCGAAGCGAGAAGAAATGTGAACGCACTCGAGTCCTTGGTCTCTGGTGTGCTATCCTTAGCGGGTTACCTCGTGGAAGCCTATAATCACTTAATGGCAGGATGCTCTTGTTAGGATGGGCCTGGTCATTTAGGATCTTATAGACGGTGATGAGGTCTCCCCTGTGACTACGGTAACTAAGTGTGAAGACTTAATTTCTTCAGTCTTTCCTCATATGATTTGTTGCGGAGGCCGATCACCCATTTTGTCGCTCGTCTCTGGACACCTTCTAGCATGTTAGCATCCCTTTTGAGTAGCGGAGGAGCAATGATATTATGCACCTCAAGGAGTGGCCTCACGTATGTCGTATACAACGTTAGGAATAGTTCAGGAGTAAGAGCTCCCAGTTGCCTATGCATAAAGTGTAAAGTGCCGTAAGCTTTGGCGACGTCCCGAGTGTAATTTACACTGGTGTCTAGCTTTTCTGTTAAAATAAGGCCTAGATCGCGTTCTGATGGCACACAACTCAAGTTCTGGCCACCAAGGGTGTAATTTGCACTCTGTGACCTGCCGGAATGAAGTTGCACTACTTTGCACTTCTTTAAGTTGAAAGGCATTCCGTTAGCCAGAGCCCAGTCCCCCAGCGTTTGCAGGTCAGCCTGCAATCTGTCGGAGTCTTCCGATGAGTTTATTGCTCTCCAAATCTTTACGTCGTCAGCGTAAAGAAGCGCAGAGCAATTCAGTTGACAGGGCAGGTCATTGATAAAAATCAAAAACATCAACGGCCCTAAGATAGAACCCTGAGGAACCCCTGATGCCGAGGTGTGCCAGGATGATCGGATGCGGTTGACTTTGGTGCAGAATTCTCTCTCGTCTAAATAATCTTCCAGCCATGCGAGAAGTGCTCCAGAAACACCCGCTTTGCTTATTTTGTGAAGGAGCAGACCATGGTGAACTGTGTCGAATGCTTTCGCAAAGTCGAGAAAGATCACATGGACTGGTACCTTTACATCCCAGGATAGTGTCCAATCGTTCCAAGCTAGTAGAAGATTCGTCACACAGGATCTTCCCTTCCTGAAACCATGCTGTGCTTCATGGAGTAGGTTAGTCCCGTCGAAGTATTTTCTCATGTGGTCGTCAATGAGACTTTCGAATATCTTCGATATCACTGGGAGTCTGTAACTGGTCTGTAACTGGTCGCATTCTGCCGGTCACCACCCTTGAAGATAGGGGATATGATGGCTCGTTTCCATTCACATGGAAGTTTCCCTACATCAAAGGAGTGTTGAAACAGATCACTTAGGGGTTGGCAGAGACTTTCTGAACACTGCTTCAGGACGGATGGTCTTATGTCGTCGCAACCTGCAGACTTTCCCGAAGCCAACTTTCCCAATTTTATGAGTACCATAGCCGGGGTAATTTGAAATGTACCCAGCAGGTTTTCGCACGTTGGTCTTGCATTGTAATCTTGATGTTTTGTGAGGGTAAAATCCTCGTTACTGTTCAGTTGCCTGTGAAAGGCTACACTGAATGTCTCTGCCATTTCAAGACTAGTAAGAGATTTCCCATCAGAACCCACTATATTGCAAGCTCCCTGGTTGGTCGGTTTTCTTTCAGACATAAACCTGTATAGGCTTTTGGGGTTCACGAGAAGCTTATTGGCGAGGTTTCTCTGAAATGTCCTTCTATCACTCCGGACTCGTATGTTACACCGATTCCTGAGTTCGAGGTACTCTTCATGTTCGGGTTGACTCTGCGATACTCGCCACGCAAACCAGGCTTTTCGCTTCGCCTGTAGAAGGCGTTGTGTCCCCCTTTTTAGCCATGAAAGTTGCTTTCTAGCTTTAGGTGTGACCAAAGGAACAGTGTCTGAGATCGCCTGGTGAATGATCTCCTTTACCACTCTCCAGTGTTCTTCTACTGTAAGCTCTGTCCAATTTTTTGGCCAATTTGCTTCAGACAAAAGTCTTCGCATTTCGGTGTAATTGGCTTTGTTATAACACAGATAGGGCTGTGTATTGTCCCACTGTAAACGCTCGCGGAGGACTATGTCGAATGTTATGACCGCATGGTCACTACTACCTATGGGAGTCGTGATCTGAACGTTTTCCACTAGTAGCTGGTCACTAGTGAGCACGTAATCCAGTCTAGAAGACTTCCCATCTGGGCCCCATCTAGTATCCATTCTGACATTTTCGGTGAATCCGGCCTCCGTGATGGTATGCAGCAGATTTCGATCAAATCTGTCCTGGGCACATCCCGTCATCAAGTTAAGAGATGGGGCATTGAAGTCTCCAGCTATGACAATTTGATCATAACCCAGGTCATGTGTCGCTGAAATTGCATTCAGCAGTACCTGGTTGTGGTCTGCTCCACATGAAGGTGATCTGTAAATGCTGCCCACTAGATACTTACAGTACCCAACGGTGAAATGGCACCATATGGAGTCAGGGAGCTCAATGAAGGGAGGGTCGATTGCATGGACACATCTGAGCTGTTTGTCGACGTATATGGCGACTCCACCTCCTTCTTTCAGATCCCTATCTCGCCTGA